AACCAACAAAGAGGGAAGAGCCAAACCACAAGCTAAGAGTAGATCCCGCGGCTCCAGGGAACAGCTGCAGGGCTCTCTGAGTAGTAGACAGCTGTAGAAGAAATGAGCACATCTGGGGGGGGTTGTGGTGAGACGCACACACACACACACACACACTGTGAGGCCATAATTCAGCATAATTCAGTAACTCAAAACATGCTGTTGTCCCTCATTGCCCTGAACTACCGCTTTGGCTTCTCACTTGGAGTGTGAGTCGAGTACAGTGCAAAAAATGGATGCTAAGCTAGGCACAGTATCACGGTCTTCCCCTTTGGCTGCCCCTCTGCACAACTGCATGTTTTTGGAGGAAACCTCAAATCCCGGATGCCACTGTGCCACCCCATACTAGCAAAACATTTTAAAAATTCCTTCAGATTTCATGATCATTATTCCAGTGTGGTCAACACAGTTGCCATTTATCACAGCTATTTGGAAATGGCAATCTTTCAGAATTCTGACATTTGGACAAACTGGGGAGTGTCATGAGCTCAGATTCTTCTGGTATTCTTGCAGGATGCCCTCGCAAAAGTTGGCATTCCAGCCTAGATGGACAGGCAGTGTTTGCTTGAATATACATCCTGTATCTATTAATCTTAACTGCATATTCACTACCTGGTCACAGTGTGTGTGAATATATATTCTAATACCCAAAAATGTGTTGTAGAGTGTGGTTGATAGAATCTAAATCCTATGTTTAAGAAATAAGCATTTAATCGATTTCTATGAATTGCATTAATTTTGCTGAGATGGACCCAAAAATTGCCTGGCCAAGCTCAGCCAAGGTGACTAAATATATTCCTTCTGGGGAAAACAAGCATAGCACATGGCTTATAGATTAAAAGCTGCGACTTCTGTCTCCATAATGGAAGTTTTGTTTCTCGCCGTCGGGCAGCTTTTGGACGTTTGAGTATTTGTAGTGTGGTGTGAGCATGTCAATGTTTGTCCACGCTTACCTGCTAAATTCTGCAGGCAACGCTGAAAGAACATGCAGTGACTCTTACCTTGTATGTGAGACTCTGATAAAGGAACCCCTTCTTCTGTGGCAGATTCACCGTCCATACTGGAATGGGTAAAAAGTCACACATCTGCAAATAAGTACCTGAGCAAGATGAGAAAGGCCTGTGCAATGCGTATAGACTGTTAGAGCTTTAACAGCTACTATATATAATGGCAAACAATTCTGCGGCTGTAGGCGTGATTTCTGCTTAATGACACTTCTGTTATTTGGCATCTTATGGCAGACAAACTTTCTTAAACCCAAGCAGAAGTTTGCAAATGGTCAACAACAAGAAGTAATTATTCAGTGTTGTGCATCAGCCCACCAAAGAAAATCCTGTTTATACCTACTTGGCCAGTAAGTAGTTACTAACCAAACCACTGTTTAACAGCAGAATATATAATGTTAGTTTATATAATAGCTAGAGCAATACCTTAATGGTTTCTAAACCTCTCCTCAGGGCCACCCAAGCCATTTTTTGTTTATTTGTTAAATTTCACTAATTTCAAATAGTTAATTATCTTAAATGAGGTATTGATTAGCTAAACATGGTATGCTAGTTGTCGAGTTCAACAAATACATGGGTATTTTGAATGACTACTACCAATGCTGGGGTGAATGTAGGAGAGGGTTTGAAATGGCATAGTCAACACACTTTAACAGTCATAAAATCATAATTTACACTAACACAGACATAGGCTTGATATTCTTTAGCATTTTGTCTAATGATCTGCAGAGTCATGTAATTTTATGCTGTGTAATGTCATATCCAGTCCTTATACTGCTTGGTTAAAACACATCTGCTTGACTTCCACAAAAAACATGCACATTGAAATCAGCTAAAATGCAAATACACAACGACCACAGCAAGCCAGAAAAAGAGGGGTGCTTGCACGGCACTCCAGCTACACAGCGCAAGTGCAACACCCAAAGCACACAGCTCCATTAGTCAGCTTCTGATTAAAGCTTGTCTGTCAATGCATCCATTGATGCCAGCTGTAAAGTCCAGTTAGTTGTTTTGGATTTTGATAGAATCATATTTTTGTTGCCTCTGTTCCATCTATTCATCCGAAGTCTAGCTTTGTATCCTGAAAACAGTCATAGGAAGGGTTTGCAATCTGCACACGACACAATAATTAGCCAAAGTGCATGTTTCTGGGGGAGAAACCAGAATGCCTAGTCAACATAGGAACACAAACACACATGCACAGAGATTACGTATCTATGTCTTTGTGGGGACTCTCCATCCATTCAAAACCCTAATCCAACTATGACAACCCTAACCCCTACCTAGCCCTGATGTTAACTATCAATCAGTCAGACTGTTCATATAACACTTCCCTGCAAACTCAATCCAACATAAAATGCTTTACACAATAAAAAACTAAATCAACCTATCCCTATTGCCACCCTCATCCATACTATGTAAAACAAAGCGACGAAAGATATATTAGACAATCATAAATAAATAATAAAAGAATAGACATGACAATAAAACAGGAACTGATAAAAACAGGAACTTAGAAAACAGGAACTTGTCAGAAATTTGCATAAGGAAACACTAGAGGCAGATTAAAATATGAGTAATCGAGTAATATAACTAATCAAACAATTTTTATACAATTAAGCTTGGAAAAATGACCCCACAAGGCAAAAGTATCAGGTTTTTATCACATTGTGAGGGCACTGGGCATGAGGCAACAGTGACCCCCAGGGAGCTCCCCCCGCCGCCCATATAGCACCATTGCTGCATCATGTGTGCTGGAGTCACGGCCGGCTGCTTCGCCAGGCACCTGAGATCCTGTGCGGGCCCCTGGCTCCCAGTCTTCCCCGGGTCCGGGGGTGTCTGCTGGCAGCCCTCCAGCTCAGTGAAGTACAGCACATGAGGGCTGAGTTGCAGCAACTGCGTGCAGAAAGAGGACTTCTTGTTCAGTCTCACAAAGAGACCTTGTGGGACCGACCCATTTGTATGACTGGCCTGAATGTTATCGCAGAAGCGGCCAATCCAAACACAAAGAAAGGGGCCTCTCTCACTGTGACAAATCAAGCTGGCCAGTGCTATCAGTCAGCTGTGATGACATGGTTGTCTTTTCATCTTTTTTTCAGTGCATAGTGAAAGACACAGTAACTTTCAGAAAAGACTAACCCAGGGTTTACAGCCATAGTTGAACAGACCCTTTGACTGGGTTCCAGTACATTATGACAAGAACAATTAAGTATTTATCACTGTATGCTCTCCACACAGTGCTGATTATGATATTCTTTTGAATGATCGATATTATGGGCTTCTGTGTGAGTAGCCGCTGTTCCGGCACGGTGGTTAGCCTTAGTACCTCATACCTCTGGGACCAGGGTTCATGGCTCTGTGTTTAGTTTGCATACTGAGGTTAACTGGAGTTACCTAATTGCCCATAGGTGTGAGTGAATGGAATGTGTGAATGTGCCCGATGATGGGTTGGTGCCCCATTCTGGATTGTTCCCTGCTTTGCGTCTATAGGCTTCAGACCAGCCACAACTCTGAATTGGATAAACAGTTAAAGAAAATGGATGGATAGATGGGTAGCCACTGTCCATTTTTGTGGCTGAATTAATTTCAATCATAGCATTGCAGGATCAGAATCAGTTGGTATTATACCCAGTATGTGGTTCAATTTTTGGAACACTATAGCTTTGTTTCCACCAATGTGGTACATTTTCCCAATCCAGCACTGGTTCCACGTGTTTCCAAAAATCATTACATCGTGTTTTTTTATTCTGTGAAAAACGAAAGATCGATCTGCTGGCCAGATTTAATAGTAAAGTATAAATATGTTACAGGTTGAATAAATAAAATATTGTGGTGTTTGAGTGCCGAAGAGATCTTGAGGTGGACTGCAAAGTTTAGTTTTTAGCAGACTCTTTTATTGCGTGATACTTAAAAGGACAGCGGTAAAACAGCGAGCGAGAATAAACTCACACGCAGACAGGGAGCCTTTATGTAGACAACAGTGGTTACAGGCAATAGAGACATAGAGTCATACTCCGGAAACTTTTTTTTTTTCGGTTCAGCAAAACGCATCCAAAGAACGAAATACAGATTAACCTTTACTTTACTTTCACTTCCGCTTACGTAATATTTCTGTTCTGTTCTTTTTTGAAACCAGTGGAAACGCAGGCTGGTTCTCAAAATGCACCTATGGCCAAACGTATGTGGACACCAGCTTGTCCAACACCTCACTACAAAACCAAGGGTATTAAAATGAAATTAGTTCACCCTGTGTTACTGTAATAGCCTTGACTCTTCTGTGAAGACTTTCCACTAGATGTTGGGACATTGCTGATGGGATCTGCTGCCATTCAGTTTGGATATTGATGTTGGGTGATCAGATCCCTTTCTGTGAACTTCTGTGGCCTCCACTTTCTAACTGAACTTGCTCTCAGGCATTTCCACTTCACAGCCACGTCGTCTATGGCTGACTAGGGTAGCTTTAACAAGGCATAGATTTGATAAACCGATAAGTTGGAGAGATGGCATCCTGTGATTATGCCAAGTTACAAGCCACTAACTTCTTCAGTATGACCACCCATTCTACTACCACTGTTCCTTGTTGGTGACTGCATGTCTATGCTTAATTACGCACCTGTATCATTTTCTCAGGGTAGAATCTGTGCTAATATTGTTAATGGTTTTATTTCATGGAAGTAGATGTTTCCTGTTGGTAATGTGATTTTGTTGCATTTGAATATGCCAGTGAGGTGTGATTGCGTTTCAGTACTTTTTAATCCAGAATATTACAAATGTCAGTAATGTAATTTTGTTGCATTTGAATACAGTGTATGTCTGTGTGATGTAACTGCATTGCAATACTTTTTAATCCACAATGCTCTTTCTTTCTGCTAAAAAGCTGTGAAGATGTAAACAGGAGTTACAGTGGAACTGTCAAATGAAGCACTGATAGCTTGTAAAATGTGATTGTATCCCCAGGCTGCTCATTGGTGCTCCTCGGGCCAAGGCCTTGTCCAATCAGGGAGCCAACATAACCGGAGGTTTATACAGCTGTGATGTCACCACCCAGTCCAACGATTGCAAACGCATTGAGTTTGACAATGAGGGTGAGCATTCCACAGACCCACAAACCCACACTGACCCCCACCTAGGCATGTGAAGTTAACCCCCCTGGCCTGTTACAATGCTTGATTCTTGAATCTTCAATATTGAACATGTTTAAGATTTTTGTGTCCGCATAACCAAAACCCATATATCAGAATTCTACATGCTGTTGAAGCACCTTTTAATACCTTCCTTCATTATCAATGAACACAGTGAATCTGAATTTGGAGTACAAGGAGGATCAGTGGATGGGTGTCACAGTACATAGTCAGGGACCTGGGGGGAAGATTGTGGTAAGTGGGGGCTGACACTGCTGGATCGGTGTCCCTGGGGGGGCGTCCTTTCTCTGCAAACCCTTGCTGCCCTTGGCATTGACGGCTGATCGCCGACACCCGACCTTTCCTTGCAGACCTGTGCCCACCGCTACCAGCGGAGGCTGTTTGTGAACACAGCCCAGGAGTCTAGTGACATCATGGGCCGCTGCTATGTCCTCAGCGAGGACCTCAGCATTGACGAGCACTCTGATGAGGACGGCGGCAACTGGAAGTTCTGCGAGGGCCGATCCCGGGGTCACGAGAGGTTTGGGTCCTGCCAGCAGGGTGTGTCTGCCACCTTTACCAAGGACTACCACTATGTGGTGTTTGGAGCTCCTGGTGCTTACAACTGGAAAGGTATGAGTACCAGGTGCCCAGGTATTACTGGAGGAGATTCTGGCAATACAGTCTTCAGATGTACACTAGTGTGATAATGACACTCTTGAGACCTAACCAACTGCTTAAAGAGTATACGTAGTCACTCTTTCAGTACAGGTATCATCTAGGATAAAGATGAAATTCTTCATATCCATGAAAATGTTCCATTTGCATCTCCACAGCTTGCTTTGATCCTGAGAATTATTTTCTGCTCTAAACAGTAAAGCCCATTGTAGTGACCATTTCCATAAAAAACAATGTATCGCTTTTCCTGTTTTTTGGTGTGAATCAGAAAAACATTTAATTGTGTAATTTTTCACTGCATTGCTAATTCATGTTTATGTGCAGTGCATTTATAATGTATGGTTATTTTTGTGTATCTACTGTAAAACATTTGAATATATTATATATTTATAATATCTTTCTAAGTTACCATTACCAGCTATTGCTCCACACATGCAGTTCTGAATACCTAGACCAGGTTTTTCCCTGTTTCAATCCTGGAAGGCCAGAATCTAACGCTGTTCCCTGCTCAAACACACCTTAATCAGCTAGTTCACAGGTTTGGTAGGTGTGTTTCAACAGGGAAATCTGCAAACGGTGTTGGATTCTGGCCTTTCGGGACTGGAATTGGGGAACCCTGATCTAGACCTTCAGTTCATCACATTCCTGTATTGATGTTCCACTCCATCTCCACCTTCCATCTTCACCGCTCCAGGGATTGTGCGAGTAGAGCAAAAGAACAACTCTCTGTTGGAACAGGGTATTTATGATGACGGGCCCTATGAAGTTGGGGATGAGAACCAGTTGAACACTGAACTTGTGCCAGTGCCAGCTAACAGTTACTTAGGTATGTTGGCACTCAAGAGACGAGGAAGCAGCTGGTGTGAGGGGCTGTGGGACCCCATGCTCTCCTGTTTTGGAAACCTCTCCCATCACCATAGTCTTGTCCAGTGTTGTACTGATGTCCAGAACTGTGTTTTGTGTGCCTAGGCGTGCTGTTTATGACAACTTTGTCTGATGCCAACCCTGATCAGTTTGTGTACAAGTCGCTCCCCCCGCAGGTTAACTGGGAGAAAGTTCTTGATGTCATGGCCAATAGCTATTTAGGTTTGTGATATATCTAAGATGCATAGAACCTGTTCCTCAGACCCATTATTCCATTGTGGTTGGTCTTCTGTATGGTTTCCCATTGGAATGTAATGCATGCTTAATACATCATGCCATGCTAGTGTTATATGTTGTATGTTTTGTAGGTGGTTAATATATTGTTTGTCATAAACATCAAGCTATTTATCTTACTGCTTCATGTCGCTGTAGGAACTGTTTAAGGTGCACTGTGCATGTAGAGCATATAATTATTCATTGTGCAGTTACTGGGTATTTAATTCCATTGTTCCAGAATTAATCTTTTTTCATTCACTCATCGATCTTTTAGTTGTTATTTTTTATCTGGCCACTTTGTAGAGATAATGGCATTAACCAGCTTCCACTTGTCAGGCTTCTCTCTGGACACCGGCCACAACATCACCAAAAAGGGCCGTCTGACCGTGGTGTCTGGGGCTCCCAGAGCCAATCACAGTGGAGTGGTGGTCCTGCTGAGGAAAGACGCAAAGGCACCTAACATGCTCTCTCCAGAATACATTCTGGAAGGCCCAGGACTGGCGTCCTCCTTTGGTTATGATGTGGCCGTGGTGGACCTCAACAAAGACAGGTTTGTGATGTGATCATTCATTTGTCACACTCATACAGGGTTAGTACCAGCATATCACGGACAACGGCTGTAAACACTTGGATGTAACACAAAACAAGATTGTTGACATACATTTTGTGCCATATGCCAAAACTATGTTAATGTTCCATTAAAAAATTTAATGATATTTATAGTACATGTTGGGAACAATATAAGAATAAAAAAAAAACAGACAAAATGCTTTATTTAAGCACTGGTTTAATTTTTCCAGTTGGCAGGATATTGTGGTGGGAGCCCCACAGTTCTTCATGAAGGATGCAGAAGTTGGTGGAGCAGTATATGTTTACATCAACAAGGAAGGGAAGTGGGACACTATTGTCCCAATCCAGCTCAATGGAACCAAAGACTCAATGTTTGGGCTGGCAGTTGAGAACATCGGGGACGTTAACCAGGACTCGTACAACGGTAGGGCTGTCTTTGTTCTGAAACACATAACTATCATCTGATTTGAGAACAAATGAAGAATGATTTTGGTCACTAACCACAAACTGCGTCTCTCCCTCAGACATTGCGATTGGAGCCCCTTATGATGATGCTGGAGCAGGAAATGTCTATATTTATCATGGGTCTCCCGAAGGGATCAAAACCAAGCCATCACAGGTCATTATCTTAGTCTACAGAACAAGAACTTCATACTGCCGTATGGCTGAAACTGATCCCCTGTACTGTGACAGAAAGCAGCGGAGTAAACAGTAGTTAGGGTCCGGTCTGTCTCAGTAATTCAACAGAAAGTTAATTTGTAGATTATTAGATTTTGCTACCTGCGGAGGAAGTCCTTGGTATGCTTTGCCAAGCTGGGGGGGGGGGGGTGTCAATTGCACACTTGTGATTATTGGCCACTCTAAATTGTTCAACTGATTTCAGGTTCTTCAAGGAAAAAATCACAATATCCAATTATTTGGATACTCTCTGGCTGGAAACATGGATCTGGACAAGAATTCTTATCCGGACCTTGCTGTAGGATCTCTCTCGGATGCAGCATTTATTTATAGGTAATTTATTACTTAAAATAAAATAAAATAACATATAATTAACTGTCTCCAATTTCATGACTTCCATTCATCTTACAGGGCAAGACCGGTGCTTAGTATTAAGAAGGAGCTAAAAGCCAGCCCTACGCAAATTGATTTGACCAAGAAAACATGCGGTAACAGTATATGGTAAGACCATGATGATGATGTCATTTTAGAGTTACTTCCAAATTTTAATTGTGTTAATTTGTATAATCACACTATAATTAATAAAATGTATTTTTTCTTTATACAGCTTGATGGTGGAAGCATGCTTTACTTACACAGCAAATCCCAAATCTTACAATCCCAAGATCAGTGAGTAAACTGTCCTCATTATCATCAGGATATGGAGTTCCTTATTCGATGAGCTGAATGGTTGACGCCTCTGAACCCCTTCCCCTGACAGCTATTGCCTACACCTTCGAGGTGGAATCCGAGCGGAGAAGGCTGGGGCTGCCCTCTAGGGTTACCTTTCTTAACAAGTCCACCACGGACCCAGACTCCCAGTTCAGTGGGATGCTGGACCTTCGAATGAAGAATCGGAAGGAGTGTACCTCAGCCAAGCTACAGCTGCAGGTGCTGCTGAAGCTTCATGTGCTTTTGCTCTCCCGGGGACCTGCATGGCTGTTTTCAGAGTTACTCACTGCTTGTTTGGTGGCTTAGGACAACATCAAGGATAAACTGCGGAGCATTCCCATTGAGGTGTCAGTGTCCATCCAAGGTATGAAACGCAAGGAGAGACAGAGCTCTCTCCCGGAGCTGGTTCCTGTCCTCAACTTGAATCTGCCAGACAAGGCCATCAAGGAGGTAACTGCAGCAATGGGCTGATACTTAATTGCAAATGATGTTTTTGTCCATCATGACTTCTTTCAGCTTTGAAGGCTTTGAGCAGTGGTGGGCAGGGTTCCGCTAACCCGCTAACCTCTAATTATTGAAGCTAACCTTTTTGTTAGCAGATTAGCGGTTCTGCTAACTTTGAAAACCATTAGCGGACCAATTAGCTTCCACTAAATTTAGTTCCGCCAACTGTAAATCCACTAACCTTTTTTGCTGGTAAAGTAAACAAAGTTTAACCATCAAACACATTTGCAAACCCTAAAATCACACATATTTGTTCCGGTCTGTTATGAGTGTGTCTGCAGCAGTCTGCCACGCTGTCTTGCTTGGCGGTTAAAGGCATTTGATGTTCATTGGCATAAAACCCGTCATGTTTTAAATAATAACTTTCTGTTTTGGTTATCGGTCCGGGTCCGTATGGGACCGCGGTCCGCCTGTTAGTGACCTCTGCTGTAGAGAATAAGAAGTTATGGAAGATCTATGGATTACTGGGAAATTGCAGTTGAGCTGAACTTCAAATAAAATCATCCTATGAACTTTTTTTTATAGGTCAGCTTTTTAAAGGAAGGGTGTGGAACTGACAACATCTGCCAGAGCAATTTGCAGTTGGATTACAAATTTTGCTACAGAGAGCCCAATCAAGATGTGTTTCCTGCTCTGCCTAGGCAAGTATATGAGCAGATAAAGCCTTTTAACCACAACAGGAAAAAAATCACTACAATAAAGAAACTGAATGAATAATGAGTGAACTCTTAAGTGAAACAGACAAAATACCAAGCCTGTATTTCTTTTACAAACCACACAACCACTAGTTCCTAGCATTGCTCATGCAGCTTTAACTACAAACTAAAAATAGACAGAATCACTAGTTGTATGCTACTTCCCAAGCTACAATTAAAGAATTAAACACAAGTGAACAGATGTAACTGATGAAAGTGTACTAATATTAAAAGTGATTGATTGACACTGCCCCAAAGGAAACAAACTCAAGAGAGAAACATTGATACAATGAAAATAATTAATAACAAACATGGTAATTTGATGTGCCATCCATAGAAAGAGTCCTTTTATACAAATTATGTGGCTTGTTTTTTTAGTGAGAATGGGGTACCAGTGATATCCCTCAGTGACCAGAAAGACATTGCTTTGGAAATCACAGTGAAGAACAGGAATGGGGATGACGCTCATGAAGCGAAACTGGTCGGCACCTTCCCCAGCTCCCTGTCGTATTCTGCCTTTCGCTCACAGAAGACTGGGGTGAGACTGACCTCTTTGACCTGATGATGTGCGCTGGGGGCTTCTGCTCTGCTTTTGGGGCTGCAGAGTAACATGACTGATTTTATTCCCAAGGTGATCTGTGCAGCCAATCAGAATGGGTCACAGACAGAGTGTGAGCTGGGAAATCCATTCAAAAGAGATTCAGAGGTAAGTCTTTACTTAGTGCTCTGTTTTTCAGAGTATTGCTTACATATTCTTACTACAAAAATGGTTTCTAGGTTACGTTCTATGTTATACTGAGCACAGCTGGCATTTCCCTGAACACCACAGAGGTTGATATTGACCTTCAGCTTGAAACGTGAGTTGCTTTCCCTTGTTGAGTTTTGAGCTTTCTGATAAGAAGTATTACTTTGTATGTTAAATGAAACTTCTGCAGTTTTAATTCAATATATTGTATTTTTAGTAAGACATGGTGCCTTTCCTTACTTTACAGGACTAGTGAACAGAAGAACTTGGGCATTGTGAAGGCCAGGGCCAGAGTAATAATTGAGCTGCTTCTATCAGTCACAGGGTAGGAATGTTTGTCACCCGCCTTTTCAGTATAAGAGACAGACTAATCTATTGTGTGTCCAAATTTAGAGTTTTCAGTGTGTTTTCTTCTACTCCAGACTTGGCTAACATAGTTTCCCTGCTACTTCTCAGAGTGGCCAAGCCTTCCCAGGTCTACTTTGGTGGTGTCGTGAAAGGAGAAAGTGCCATGAGATCTGAGGATGAGATTGGCAGTTTAGTTGACTTTGAGTTCAGGGTAATTCTCATTTTAATATCACTGTCCTGATGACCAGCATGCCTGAAAGCATTCCTTTTAAGAGCCATACAAATAATGCATGCATCAGCGCTTTGGACAATAATGCCTGCAGACCTCAAACACTTTATACACAAAGTTTTGCCAATGTTTATTGACTAGATAATCAACCTGGGCAAGCCGCTAAAGTCATTTGGCACAGCCTCCCTGAACATACAGTGGCCCAAGGAGAACGCTGTTGGCAAATGGATTCTGTATCTGGTGCGGATCAGCACAAATGAATTGCAGGAAATTCCTTGCTCTCCAGAAAGTGAAATCAACCCGCTGCCACGCATACAGGTATCTTTCCGAGGCCAATGAGTGCTAAAGGTTAAAGTGGAAAAGTGGAATAGTAAACACCAAGCATTGTCTTTGGTTTCCTTGTTTACTTTGATTTATGTTCAATCGTTATTTATCAATTAATTACAACAATTTCTTTCCAGGCTTCCAACACATTCCGCAGAACACGCAGCATTGAAGAAAAGACTTCAGATGAAAGAAAAACATCACTATCAACGGATAAAAGAAAAACTCTGGTAAACAAATTTGTGATGTTAATGCTTATTTTCACTTCACAAGAAGTTGATAGAATTGTTGCGCTAATTTGAAATGGTGACTTTGTTTGCAGACATGTGACAGTGGGGCTAGATGTGTAGCGATAAGGTGCCCCCTTCAGGGCTTGGACAGTAATGCAGTTATCGTATTTCGGTCCCGTCTCTGGAACAGCACTTTTCTTGAGGTATGCTTCTTTCTCAACAAAGAATAGAGCCATCACCAGTTCAGCCTTGCATGCTATAATATTGCGGGATATAATCAAGTTTTGGGAATACACTTTTCAGCCAAATTGAACGTACAGCCCAAAATTCTGGATGAGAATGAAGGACTTAACTTTTAAAAAGCCTCTCATTTTTCATAGGACTATGCATCCCTTAGTTACCTTGACCTCATTGTCAAAGCCTCACTCAGCCTGGATACTTCTGCCGCAAACATGCTCCTTAAAAATGCAGAAACTCTGGTAAGACGAGATGTACCTTACTTTGTTGTTCCCATCCACACATAGAATAGCCCTGCAAAATAATTACTGTATTCTGTGTTATATTGTTGCAATGTAAATGTCTTGTTTTGTCCCCCTTAAGGTTTATTAGTCTGAGTTAGTAAAAGTATAACAGCAAGTGCAGCGCTGAAATCACTATTTCAGGTTTGCTTCAATTTTAGGTGAGACTGACTATATTTCCGGAGAAGATGGTGTCCCACTACGGTGGCGTTCCCTGGTGGATAATGCTGGTGGCCATCCTGGCAGGCATCTTGATGCTGGCACTGCTGGTATTTATCCTCTGGAAGGTAAGCAGCAGCATGTCTGTGCAGTCAGTGCGGATTCTAAGTCATAGTCACACAGTTACATTTTCCCGGTGAGGATGTGGTTTCCTATAACCACCGGGGTGCAAGTGACATCGGCCTGCGAGACACCATGTCCGCCGTGTCCCAAGCTTCTGAAATGCACACATCTCCTTGACTAAGCCTGTTCACAGCAGCCCATCCCCGACTTGCTTCCTTTTAGTGTGGTTTCTTCAAGAGGGCAAAAAAAGATGAGCATGATGCAGCCTATCACAAAGCTGAGATCCATGTTCAGCCGTCTGACAAAGAGAGACTCACGATGGAGGCATAGTGCCCCCTGCATTCAGCCTCTGGGTAAAACTGATGCGTGTATCTGTCTGGGTCTGTGACCTGCATGGCCTGTGAGCTGATTGCATCTGCGGACATGCTTTTTTGCAATATGCTTGTGATGAAGGCTGGTAAATGTACATATCCATCAGTTAATCACAATCTACCAGTTGAGAGTAACTGATTTCAAAGTTTTCACTCATTATTTGCCTTCTTTTAACATGTGTATGTACATTTCTGGTCACCATGAAACCATGTTTTGAACTTTACAGCTCTTTACCGCTATCTGCTTTATAATTCCCTGTGCATCAAGCCTGGTATCATTCCTGCCATTTCTCTTTAACTTGGTTTAAAAGATCATTTGTTTTTCTAGGTGTTTCTAAGCTGGCAGCTTTCGGCGTTTGCTCAGCAACGTTCTGTGTATTTCCAATTATTTCCACAAACATGCTTGCTGACTCAAACCCGATTTATATCCACTACTCTGAAGCTCTGCTTCTGGACTTCACATTTTTATCATATTAATCTTGTTTCATAAAACAATACTGACGATACCTATTTTTTATTCAACGTTATTTTCTGTAGTGTGGATTTTTCAAACGCTCCACATATGAAGACAGTGTTCCAAGATACCACGCCATCCGGATAAAGAAGGATGAGCGCCAGATTAAGGACGGGAAAACCAAGTTTGATAGCCTGGAGAAGAAACAGTGGATGACAACATGGAATGAAAATGAGAGTTACTCATAAGGTCGACGATTGGTGACGTGAAAAACATGAAATAATTCACCTTTGTATGCAGTCTGGGTCCTAAGATGTTTCTTTTTTATTTTTGCACTGCATCTGAACCTTCATTTGTATATATTGATAAAAGAAATCAAGGAAATGTTTGTTTTTCATTTTGAATATTCTTGCATTAATGTCATAATTCACTGGGCGAGGCAATAAGGCATCAAATAAGTTTAAAACCAGATAAAGAGAAGTTAAAGACAGTTTCATCTGCGACTTTGCTGCTGTATATTTACAGATGTATTCACATCTGGAATGCGGTTGGTTACAGTGCTTTAAAAGAATCGTGACTTTTTCGTATTTGTCATGCTCCTCTTGAACTGTTTTTGTAATGTACAGAAGGAAGCATTTTGTATGTTTTGTATATATTTAAATATTTCAGTCCAGTTTATATTTATTTCTGTCATAAACTGTTAATGTTTCATGCATACATTTACCAAAGATTTGGGAGCTCATGGAAGAAACAGCGCTTGGCTGGTTCAACCATGACCCATTTTGTTGCTTCAAAGAGCATTTAGTTGTTCCATTGATGAAGTGTGATGAAGTGAGGGTGGATCTTTTCAAACAAGGATTTCTGAAGCAATCTTATATACAAAGAGTGAGCAAGGTAATGATCACCATCATCATCATGAACAGTAGTACATTGGGTCTGGGATACATTCTCCGATCGACACTGTTACTTCTGAATGTTTTATTGTGAATTTTATTATGCATAAGTGCTTGAAAGAAGACTACTTTTTGATTTTAATTCTCTTTGATGTCATATAAGTTTTGTTCCAGCATGGTCTTTCCAAAAAATGATAGATCATCTTGCAGCACCTGTTTAGTTTTACTTTTATACTGGGGAATCTACAGGAATCTAAAATGTGTCTGTGCAACTCTCAGTACCATGGTCAGAAGAATTAAAAGCTTTATTTCTGGGCAGTATCCATGAACAAAGTTGCATTTAAAAAAGAAGATAAAGCATACCACACAAAAGATGGTAATGTCTGGGATTCACAAAACATTCCTTGGATGTTAGAACTTTAGAACTAGGAATCTTATTTTAGATATTGTAATGTTGGGGAAACAAATGTCCAGAAATAATTGCAGTTTCTTTAAAGGCTGGGAAAAATAACTTTTACATTACAGCAACAAAGCATGAAACTTTTTGTCCAACCATTTTGCTTCCTTTCAACATAGATTTTTAAATTCTACCCATGTAATGAATGTACGTGTAGATTTATAACAATGAGTTTTAAAAATGTTTACATTCCAATTACATTGGAGCTATAGCATATTAGAAAGCATATGTTTATCACTGCAAATTGGTGTGAGGCAACTGTAAAACCATGTAGTGATGAGCATTACTGTAACAATGAAGAATGCTAATAGTAACACAATTACTTTTCAGTGTGAACATATTTAAAATCTAAAGTCTTACCACTGGCTATTGTTTGTTTCCAACTAGACATATTACTGGAGAACACCAAAAAATAAAAATAAATTAAAATCCTGTGGATTTAAAGATAATAAAGTAATAAAAATGTGCATTTGTATGGCTTCCTTCATTTATTAATTCTTTACACGTTATCAATGTATAATTTGCTAAGTAATTAATATTTATCATTAATGTATTGCCATGATACATAGAAAACTAGGGAAGATACTTTTTTCGTGGGGTAGTTAATATTTTAGGTGCACTACTGTATAGCTGTCACTATACAGTAAGTTTATCAGTGCTGACTAAATAACTTCAGGACTACATAAATGTTAAATTAAGCTATCTACAGCCAATTATTCAGGATGACCCTTCCTCTCATGAACCGCCTAGAACATTTTCTGTGACGCAAAAGTGCCAGGACGGGCCAATGGAAGGACGTTGCTGTTGTTTGTCGGGTTTTGATGACGTCACCACTTATCGGCACTCGGCAGTCCTCAAACGCCCCGGGCCAGATAATGAGGAGTCAAGGGGAGGTCATGGGCAGGAAGTTCATGGTAGTTTAAGTATATTTTCCCGACGTCAGTCGTGTGGAAAAAGTGAGGTTTTTGACGCCTTCCTTGTGTTAAAACAAGGCGAAAACAGACAACTCAGTGGGCGATTGCATGGGTTCAGCGTACATTGGAAGATTAAAAAGATCAAGGGACAGCGCACAGCCAACATTAATGAGGCTCAACGGATTATTAAATTGAACGATATTTGTTTTTTTTATAAATAATCACTGTAAGTTGGCATTGATTAAAATGAGGCTTTTACGGTTTCTTATGAAATCCGCATCAATCGAAAAACACATAGATTACTACTCCAGGTTTTCACCGTCGCCTCTTTCCATGAAACAGTTCTTAGATTTTGGTGAGTTTTGGGGAGCGGTGGGTAATTTGCTGACTTATTGTTTTGTTGTGTACATATAAATAGACGCCACGATGCGGTGTCCATTGCCTCCTTTCACAGGGACGGAAAACGCCTGCGAAAGAACATCCTTCATGTTCCTGAGACAGGAGCTGCCAGTAAGGTTGGCAAACATCATGAAGGAAATAAACTTGCTGCCCGACAACCTGCTGAAAATGCCTTCTGTTATGCTGGTGCAGAGTTGGTAGGTTTGCGGTAACCATAACTTTCAGGCATCTTATAAATGTTCTGTAATAAGGTTTATAATGTTATTTTAATTTATTATTATTACTTGTCGTTAGCCTCCCTGCTTAATTGGTAGATTTTGTCGCTAGTAGTCCGGCAGTTGGTCCGTGAAATGTATCATTTGGAATGTATTTTTGTCACATTTTATTGAGTTTTTTTTTTCAGTTTTTTTTTATTGTGCAAAAGGAACACATACGTGCAGTTGTGCAATTTTGGGAAATGTAACGATTCAAGTTCTCGTTCGTCACGTATTACATGATTAGCCCATATTGAATATCCCTTTTGAAACATTATGAGACGCGATTTGTCTCGCATTTTTCACACCACCCCCACCCCCCAGATCATATTTTATCATCGTGGACTTGGGGAGGTGGGGGTGACCTCCCTTATTGAAAGTGGCAAACCTAGTGAGGATTGATAGTTTTATTGACAAAAGCTTGTTTCTGCAGTTAGCCAAACTCAGTGACATGGTGAGGAAAACCCATGACATTCTGAAAAGGCTGATATATGCCATTTAATTCTTGGGTCAGCAGGAGCTGTCATTTAGGGGACAAAATGAGAGGGTGAATTCTCTAACAGCAAAGAGAGCTATAGATGTGCTGTCCCTCTGTGACGATGTTCTGTCTTTTGTTGGTGTGTTTGCATTCAATTCAATGTAGAGCAAAACAGTAATGTAAAGCTGTGGAGATACTCAATAAAGTAAATGGCAAATTCACAAAGAACTACCTGAATTACATTTTTAAACATGCAAATGGTCACTAAATCACCACAAAGTGTAGCTATTGTGGATTTGGTCATGTGAATACATTTTGATTAGGAGACACATCATGCATTATTATAAAGATAGTTTGAGCTAATAAATTGACTAGCGTGAAACCCATAGCGTACCGTAATCCGACAGTAAATGTTAAATGTAATTAAATTAGAATTTTATTTGAGAGCTCAAAATAAATTGAAAGCACAAGAAAAGTAAGTTGTGTGCAGATTTCAAGGATTTTGTGGGCTTGATTTAGTATTTTGTGGAAATGTGAAGTGATTTAGTACAATGTGCCCATGAAAAAAAACTGGTCTCTGTCTATATCGGTAGTGCATCATTGATGTCAAAATATGAATTGTATGAATGATAATTCAAGATATGAACATTAAGACTTACACAAAGAAATACTGGTAATCACTTAATTGGTGGGGAAAGATTGTGCAAATTTGCATGCAAGTGGAATGTGCTATAAATGAATACAATGTCGTCGTTCTGACAACCCTGCTTTCTAGTTGCAATTGTATATGAAGTGAGTGCACTCTTTATTCCTTTTAAGGTATATGCAGAGTCTTGAGGAAATACTACAGTTTAAGAATAAAGGCGCTGATGAGAAAGTTATATACGAGTGAGTAACCTAGATTATCCATTTGATTGTATTTGAATTTAATTAGCTTTTTTTTGCATATTAAATATTGAAATCACTTTGGCATCCCCAGTTTCACAGATGCTGTCATTAAGATCCGCAACAGACACAATGATGTCATCCCCACCATGGCCGAGGGGGTGGTGGAGTACAAAGAGGCCCACGGCATGGACCCGGTGACCAGCCAGAATGTGCAGTACTTCCTGGACCGTTTCTTCATGAGCCGCATCTCCATCCGGATGCTGCTGAACCAACACAGTGAGCATCAGAACTAGTAGACACTAGGGCTGCATGATAACACATCCCAGTATATTCACCAGGACTTTTGGCAACGGGCGTCAAAATTTCTTAATACCAGCTTTTCGGTACTATACACACCTTTAGTTATGCCCACAATTTGGTAAGCAGATTGGTAGTACGCATAAAATATTTATGAGATGTGTGTTGTGACCCCTACAATTTAGTAATCTGTATAAAATCATCATGTCCTTATGTTTGTTACATTTGGTTACCAGGCACACGCCACATACTACTGTTTTGGTATATCATGGAAGCGATAAGCACTGAAGTGGCGGTGAAGAAAGGGACAGGTCAGCAAACACATCATCCTTTAAATAAGGAGATATTGTGGATAAACGAGGTAAAAAGACTTCAGTGGGGTGGCGATACTTCTGGCAAAGTCCAACTCATTTATTAAACATTAGAATATGCAGAATTTATATAGATTACTAACTGTTTGGTGTCACAATACACCTTTTATTAATATTTTAGGTGCACTGTTAATCTGCTTACCAAATTGTGGGAACAAATAAACGTCCATATAGTACCGAAAAGCTGGTATCCGCTTGGGCATGCACCATATAATGGTGCAGCCCTATGCATCATATAATGGTGCAGCCCTAGCAGAGACCCTGCTGTCCGTTTATAGCTCATCTCCTTTCTTATTTTTTTTTAACCCACCCTCCCTCAGCTTTACTCTTTGGTGGAAAGGTTCCAGCAAACCCTGCCCACCCTAAACAGATTGGCAGTATTGACCCCAACTGCAAGGTCACAGAAGTGGTGAAGGGTAAGCCCCCCCCCCCCCATTTTCTCCATATTTACTTCTGGGATGTGGAAACCTTGGTAGAATCTGTACAAATTAAAGTTTTTAAAGGATTTTATCCCTCACATCACACTTTTATCTGTGGCTTGTCTTTCAGATGCATACCAGAATGCTAGAAAATTATGTGATCTGTATTATAAGAACTCACCAGAGTTGAAGCTGGAAGAACTGAACGGTAAATATAAGTAGTAAGTCACTAACTCTTTTTTTTTTTTTTTTGGAGCATTTTTTAAAATTCTACCTTTTTAATGATCTGCCACTGATAAGGGGTCACATTGCGCAAAATTAATCAAATTATCACCTTTTTGTACGTCACGCACAATATACATTATTAGAATGTTAAGCACGGATTGTAAGCTTTAGTAAATAAGTGCCTTAAATTGGGTGACTCACCTTACTGAAAGGTACAAGAGCATAACTACTCTATGGTCCTGATCCTGGAAGCCTTTTGTGTCCTCAGCATTGAGGTCCCGCGACTCGGCGTTGGTGTGATTAAACGCATTAGTTTAAAAAGGACTGGAAGGTTTTAAAGTAGTGAGTGCAGGGGCCATTAAATGTGAATGTGTCTCTTGTATTTTGGTGTGTCTGCAGCCAAAGAGCCTGGAACGCCCATAATGGTGGTGTATGTGCCTTCTCACCTTTACCATATGGCATTTGAGCTTATTAAGGTATGTGCCGTGCTCCGTATTCTCTGCCATCTTGTTTTGGCAGTTTGTAGCGCACCCTGAAATGGCTTGGTGTACACTAGGGTTGTATGTGGACGATGCAGTGTGATAGCCGGGTTTCTACCAGTCACAGCATTAAGTGAATTAGTGAAAAGTGAAGTTTTATTTTTTATTTATCTATTTGTTTTGATGGCATAAATTGCGCAGTACTTTTTGAACACAAAGTGTTCTTGAAATGTGATTTATAAATGAAATTTACTTGCTAATTAAGGTCATACAATTTCTGTATGTGTTAAATATTTTCTTCATCATTTTTCCAGTTGAATCAAATTACTTGTTTAAATACTGAAACAATATTGTTTATATTGATGTTCATTTTCCGTTTGTGTGTGTGTACTAACGTGCTGCTTTGACTATGGGGAACCTTAACACAACTGATAATTGTAGAAACAAATTGATGGAACACGCAATGTTAAGCAGCATGTGAAGGGATAGGTTTGGGCACTATTTTTTTGTAACATTTGCAATCTCTCGCAATTCTTCTGCATTCTCTCGCAATTCTTTTTGTGTTCCCTCACCGAGTTTTGCGTTCCCTTGCAATAGACATAGCTGACATGTTGATGCATTGACACAAAGTGTCATGAAGCTGTATGATAAAGCATGAAAACATAAGAAATTTACAAACGAGAGGAGGCCGTTAATACTGTAAAAAGAAAAAAAAAAAGTCATATTATTTCAGTCGGGACCAAACATAAACGTCAAGGCGAATTGATGACTTGGTCCTATATGCCCCGCCCCCGCGACCGGGAGCTAGAGCACCGCAACGGCGGTTTCCACACTATAAAAAATATGCATAAAATTGGGGCAGCATAATTCCAAGAGAGACCTTATGTGAAGGACGTTGAGAGTAAAGAGGACTTTCAGATGAGGTGGTTGTCACCCAAGTCACACGTAATATACTTAGATGGAGAGATAGGATCTTTAAAAATCCATATAAAATTGGGGCAGCATAAATGCTGTGGGATTGTTGCAGGAAATGAAGAGGGCTTTCTGCAACTATAACATACATGGAGTTTCCTGCGCCCCTGTCTCTGGGTATTTTAGATGAAGTTCAAAGTAAAAATCAGTTAGATGATCCATTACCATTGGATCTGCTGGAATGCATGGCACAGGATTGCGAAAGGGACGCATTAGTGTTAATAATCTCCAACCCTGTCCATTTAGGGGCTCCGTACAATGTAGCTTACTGTGGTAAAGTGTGCTTTATATTCGATAAACTCTTATGAACAGTTTTAAAGTTGTTACTAGGCCTGCATAGTATTTCAGTAATATGGCATACCGACGACAGAACTGGCCAGCCTCCAGCAAGGGCAGTAGTCTCTCTAGCGTATAAAAGACTTTTTTCATATTTTGCAGACACATTCTCTAAACACAAAATTGATCGTGTGCATCTCAGCCTGTGCACCGGACATAAAAATTTGTGACTTTTGTTGAAAGATATTACAGCCAGGAAACTGAATTTGAAATATAAAGCTAACTTTACTACGGTGTGTAGCTTCACGTAGCATTAGCCGTCAGCTACAGGGAGAGAGACAGATGTGTGGAAATGTTGGTTCTGACCAAAATGACTTGAAAACCAGTATTTCCAGACATGTTTGTGACCAGTAACTGGAAACAACCAAGAAGCCTTTGGTGCTGTCTGCAAGAAGCGGTTCAAGCTGGGTATGAGGGGTGTTGAGGTTACATGCAGGCCAACCTGTAAGTCAACTTATTTCTCTAGCATCCCAATAAATGTTATTGTATATAAAGGTAGACATTGTGGTGGAATAAGATTTAGGAGCCTGTAGGAGAAGAGCATGATGGGACTGTGGTCAAGCCTTGACTTGTTTGTCTGTGTGTGTTTTTTTTGGAGATGTCTTTGTCCAAACAGGAAACTGGAAGTAAAGGTAGCAGGATTTGGGGGGGGGGGGCATTGTGGATGTTCCAAGAAAATTGGGGAAAACAGGTAAATGCTCATTAGCTTTAGGGAACGTGTTGAGTCATTTCTAGGAATGGGCGTGTGACCCAGGTTCTGCATGGGTAAGGAGTAATATGCAATATCAATGTCTAATCGGGCATTATTAAGGGAATCGGGTCACTTGTATATAGTTTTATTCAACAGTCCTCTAACAGTAAATAAGCCTCCTTCAGTTTAATTCATCAAAAGGTGAACAGCTGCAAAAATACTGTTTTGGCCAGAATATCAGACATTCAATTCAATTCAATTCAATTTTATTTATATAGCGCATTATCACAACATTACATTGTCTCAATGCGCTTTACATTTCTGCCTCGTAAGGACCCCCCATTGGGTAAGCCAAAGGCATATCAGACATCAGATTATAAAAACGACCCGCCACTTTTTCAGGAGCTATTTTTGGGAAAAAGTTCTTGGAATACCAAAATTTTACAAAGAAAAATTATTTTATTTGCAAGAACATTCAAGAAGTTAACCATCACTGTGGGTGTGATCAGAACAAGTTTGTCTCAGGGGGCCACACAGACAGGGCACCAAAACGATGATCACCGCTCATACAATGTTGTATTGCTAAATGGGCGTTTGATTCTGTTGACTGCGTTTCAAGTGTATGGCCAGGAAGCAGATGATAATACACCATCTGTTGTATGTGTATAATGACATTTAAATTCTAGTCCATGAGTATAAGACGACACCAGCTTTTTAGATGTCATTTTTTGGGGAAAAAAAACCACCATCTTATATTTGGGCAAATACAGTGGTAAGGATAACTCTAAACAGATGGTAGCACTAATGCTCTGACTAAGTGTGGCATTAAAAAGGTCTTTAAAAGTTCAGTGTTCTGATAACTGCTTAAACCTGGTTGGGGATGTGCTTCCCAGAATGCCATGCGGGCCACCATGGAGTTCTGCAGAGACAATGAATGCCCTGAAGTTCATGTACACATCACCCTTGGGAATGAAGACCTAACCGTGAAGGTACGGCTTTTCCCCGAAGTGACTCCACCCCCCCCCCCCAATTGGATTCATTCGTACCCCTTATTTGAGGAAGTTTGTTTTTGGACAATGGCAGGTGAGCGACCGAGGAGGGGGTGTGCCCTTGAGGAAGATCGATAGGCTATTTACCTACACCTACTCCACGGCCCCCCGACCCCGCATGGAGACCTCCTGGGGGACCCCCCTGGTGAGAGATCGCTGCCTTATTGCACTGCACTTATACTCTTGAGCATCATATTTAGCCCAGATTATCCCAGTAAGTTACAGCTGGGCGATATAACCAAATATTTTCTCATGATGATGATTTTTTTCCTATTAGTCACTATTATTAATTATTAGTAATATAATTTAGTTGTTTCTTTACTTCAAGTCTCCGTTTTTGCTTAAAATTTCCTTAGGTTTACATTTAAACAGATTCAAAATATAAAAAGGCAACAAATTGAATGAACTGCAAACTGAAATCTAATTTTAATAAATCATACAAAGAAACTTTTTTATTCCTTGGGCACTAACTGTACCAAATGCAGATAGCATGGTTTGTCGTTGGGTTTTTTCTCATTCTGTCTCGTTCTTGTTCGCCAGTATTCTTTGTTTTGTGGTCAAGGGATTGGTATACGATGAAAGAGCCATTAAAAATGCTTTGTATTGTGATACCGTTCTTGTTGATTGTAGCTAATTCTGTGTATATATACTGTAAATGAGAACGTAATATTTTTGTTCAGTTTTTGCATTCTGTAAAAGCAAAGCAAAGGCCATTATGGCTACACTGACAATTGAGTCTTATGGGAAATGTGAGGGTTAGTCTGTTGACTCACAGCAACACCACCAACTTGGGTGACACATTGTATTAGTTAGTTAGTTCTCTTTGGTTATACAGTTAATTTTTAACTGTTAAATATCACTAAAACTTCAAATATCACAATATCGTTCAGCCCTAAAACACAATTACAAAATAATAAAAGTACTACTACTAATAATTTATATTATATAGTTAGGCCTATTATGTACCACATTGTGTAAGATGCTGTAGCTAAGTGGCGGGCTAACTTTTGTTTTAGCAGCAGTTATTTTGACATGAAGGGATTGTAGAAAGTAAATTAAGCAAAATTATTCAAGTGAACTTGATGACCAAGACAGCCTGGGGTACTCTGAGAGGCATATCTTAATGGCCAACCTGGCATTAGTGGGTGAGCCCATCACACCTGAATGTCGTCTTTTAACATGTATTTGCATTGCAGTCCGTCTGTGGTGATATTTAAGTTCTGCTTGCAGTACTGTTTCTTCACTTTTAATGTGGAGAAGCAGCACGTTCTTTCCTCCATATTGATGAGTAACCGAGAAGGAAAATCTTAATCGATGCTTTTTGATAATCGAGTAATTGAGTTTCACAGAGTAATCGTGACCGCTCTAGTTGAAACTTTGGACAAGTGCTAGGTCTACCAAAATAAGATTTGGATTCAGAGGCACGTTTTGCACTATTAGGAAGACTTAAAATACATTTGAAATACATTTATTACAGTAAAATACATATTTGCACACTTCACTCCAGATTCTGGCTTTGTGGCACATTTTCTTTAGGCATCCAAGACATTACATTTCATTAAATTGAAAATTAAACCGATCGACATAAATTGAGAGCACAAAAAAGTCAATTGTATGCATATTTTAGGGATTACATGAACTCTATTTAATATTTTGTCAGAACGTGAAGTAAATTGTGTGTAGACTTTAATACAACATACCTGTCCATGCCATGTTATTGTATCCGGCACAGTTTTGTTGGTCCAGCCTTTCCAAACATACTTGTTTTTCAAAGCATTATCAAAGTATCCCAGTTTAAATGGATTTGTGCTGCTTGTTCACAGGCTGGCTTTGGTTATGGCCTGCCCATCTCACGCTTGTATGCCAGATACTTTCAAGGTGACCTGAAGCTGTATTCCATGGAGGGCTATGGCACCGATGCTGTGATATACATCCGGGTAAATTGGCTGGCTCAATGAATTGTTTTATTTTAATTTAAATATCATTTTGCTATGATATTTAGCTTAAACAGTGTTTAAACACGGCCCTCATGTTTTGTATGTAGGCATTATCCACGGAGTCCATAGAGAGGCTTCCGGTCTACAACAAGTCCGCTTGGAGACACTACAGGACGATTCACGAGGCCGACGACTGGAGCGTGCCCAGCAAAGAGCCCAGGGATGCGGCCACTTTCCGAGGATCCTAAGTCTGAAGCTGGAGTCACATCGCCATGCTGCAGACTGCAGGGACAGAAGGAACAAGAGACCTTTCCATTATTCATAATTTTCCACGAGCGAGTGATTGACAAGCTCCTTTAAGAAGAGAAAGGTTTTAGCGTATTCAGCTGCCTACGCCTTACTGGTGGTTTTTTTTTATGCTACCATTATGATGCTGTGAGTGTGAAAATGCAGATTTAAGTTTTTTTTCTTAAGATATGTGAATTTTTGCTGTAGTGGTAACCATTTCCACGGTCAGACATTTTAGATATTTCTTTTGCTGCGGCTGAATGAGCAGGTCGCCTGCCATGGTCACTGTTCACAGTGCAGGTACTCATGAAACGCATGATGAAAGCTGGACTGAATGTGCTTGCCAATTCTAGCTACGAAGTATTGTCCTATCAGGGCTTTTGGGCCTGGTGGTTTCTGTCGTACCCCTGCTGTTTGGTTCAGATACATTTTTTTATCTAGAAATGAATATTTCTTGCCTCGAACACATGGGAAAATTTGCCTCTGAGCAGGAAAATAGGCATTTATACCCTGTTCCCACAGAAAGCCACATTGATACCCACAAGATTTTAACAGATAGACTCTACAATGCTGGTAAGGTACTATTGCCCAAATGTTGCTTTAAAACTTACTTTCAATTCTGAAGCTGCTTTGATGTGCAAAGGTCATATGGCTTAGCATTTAACAGATTAATGTAGCTAGAGGGTTATAATGTGTTTTCATTTACCGGTATTTGTTTAATAAGCTTATACAGTATTTTCCATGTATGGTGCCTTCAGGGCAAGAAGGTACCTTTGATAAGTAAAACTGCACAGTTTACCATTTTTTTCTTTGTCATATTCAATTGTGCTGTGAGGAAGATATTTTGGGGGTATGGACAGAATTTTTAAAAATATCTTTTGAGCTTGTCTAAAATCACTAGAATATGTATATAAAAATACCATGTAGGCTACAGAACAATGGCTATCTTCTGAAGGTCAAACATTACTGTATTTAGGAACACATGCATCCAAAGTACTACAAGCCTAGTCCACATTTCTAATGCAAGCGTACCTTAAGCCCTTTTAAACATTTACCAAATTCCAACAAATCTCCTAGTCTTCAGATATCTTTATTCTCTTAATAATTGCATATTTACCAACAGTAATTCATTAGACTAAATGAATGCGATATTAGCAATAGCATGCAGCTAGCTTCATTTGAGTGGCTAGCAGACGGTATTGTAGCTTTGGCTCAGTTCCAGTCTTACATGTGTAAACAGCATCTGACCATTAACCCAGACCATGTTTATAAAGCACCCAGTCTCTCTGTGTGATTATGACCTGGTCTGGTTATTTCAGATGCTGGTGTATCAAAGATGTGATGCAGAGCTGGCTAATTAGTGATTTTGCTTCCAAGTTTGAGGCCGTTACTTTTGTGTTCCCATGTTTGCACATTTTTACACAGCAACACCACCAGATGAGAAAATTAGTTTATTAGTGTAAACCTGTACATTATCAGGGAAAAGAATTGGCCTACTTATCGGGGAGCATAATTTTATGTCCATCTAGCAAATTATATATTAAGGTGCATATAAGTCATACATGTACAATTATTAATTCCATGTATACACATGATGTCTGTGGTTATATACACTTCTAAACAAAAAAGGAATGTGGAGAAAGCTGACGCGCCTTCCCCTGTTCAACAGGGGCTTGCATGCGATGGAATCTGGCTGAGTACAGCGTTCGTGAACGTCGTCTCAGGGGAACGCCGACTTTGCTGGGGTGCAGAAAATCTTTTTTTTTTAAATGCAAAAGTGATCCTGTTCTGACTTCTACGTAGTAGAAAATAAGATCTACTGAACTCTACTCTAGTCAAAGTTAACATTATGTAGCTAACTATGCATATATAACATTTTGTACATTTAAAGCCATTTTGCATTTTAAAGACAATTCTTTCTCATAACCTTTACAAAACTCATGTAAGAAAAGATCTGTACATAAGTATGTTACTTCTAAAAAATACAATATAAAACATTTGAAAATCAGGATTCAGTCTATAGTGGAAGGCTCCATTCTCTGGTAATCTCTTTCAGGGATAAAAGAACTACAGTAGTACATAAAATATTTAAAAGAGATTCATTTGCTGAGCAGTACTGAGAGCTTTTTGACCCGTGTTGATATTTTATTTGAAGATGAGGCTCGGTATTTTAAAAGCCGGAATTCTTTCATTTTATTACTAGTGCACTTTAAGTCCAGGTCAGCCACCTGATTTGGAGCATGTGTTGTCTATTCTCCAGTGCAGTGTGGCCTAAGCCCCACACTGCACTGGAGAATAGACTGAACAGAAGAGGGTCAGGCAGTGACTGGAGCTCACCAGTCAGAACACTGGTAGGGATGCACGCCCTAGAGGAGCACTGTGTCTAACATGGTCACTCGAGATGGCAGCCATACCATCACTGGCCATATCTGACTGCAGCGTAAAAATCACTGCTTGCTCAAAATGGACATATCTGGAACATTCCTTATTATTAACTGCTACGACTGAGAAATGAAAAACAGGTCATGCATACAGTGAGGATTCTCCTAATTTGTTGAAGTAGAACTTGTATTTGTCAGAAACCTCAAAGTTGCCGGATGCCGCCCATCGTGGCGGTCCAGCTCGCACTGGAGCGGGAAGCTGGAGCAGCGAGGGCGCTGTGGGAGCCTCAGCAGGAGGAGTCTGTGCTGACGGGCAGCTTCCCGCTCCATAGCGCTTCCTTCTCCCTCTTTTCGCGCAGTTTCTCCAGCTTCTCCTGAGCTTTCCTCATGTCCTTGAGCTTCTTCTTGATGGTGGCACGGTCACTCTGGCTCAGAACTCCCAAGGTCTGAAAAAGAATGAGCAGCTGAAGTGATGCTTGGTTTTAGTCACTGACTAATCAGCTGCCAACATTTAAACTCAATGTTCCAATCAGGCATCCACAAATAACAGGGCATGAATAACATTTCACATATATTAATTCAGTCCACTAGGTGGCAGTCAAGTACATATATTTATACCAGTTATTACAAGGCCTGACTCACACAATGTATTGAAACTATTTCTCTAGTTTTTATTTACCTCCCTTGATGCAACAACTATAACTATCAGTAACAGTGCTGAATACAGGAAGCCATTAGGAGGACAGCATCCCACCTTCAGTCTGTCACTGTCCAAGTGCAGAAGCTGCTGCCCATTCACGCCCTTGGCTGTGAACTCTTCGATGTACTGGTCCATGTTCATGCCCATCAGCCAATGGCAGACCTGCGTTGTAGTCCACTCTGTGACAGGCCGGTTCTGCCACTGGTACTCCTTCCCTGGGAGTGCTGGCTCATCATCTAAAGTCTGTGGCCCACCACACAAACACACGTGCAGTTACAGAAACAGCACTGTCGGTTACACTGCTCTGCTACATTTAACTCTATACAAATGGCTAACATGTTAGTATCATACAACGCAGATGTACATAATTCATTTATAAATACAACCATCTCCCTGATCTGCAACATGGCGTTTACCTGAATACTAGGGATGTAATGTTACACAAAAGGTATTGGTCGGTACTAATCTCAGTTCACAGTTTGATACAACTTTGGTACAGCAGAGAACACAGAATTTGTTCTTGAAGTGTTTATTATTAAAACTGCAAACTATTACGAACAGCTGTAACCCAGAGAGTCTATATGCCAGTTGACGTGTGTGAATAGCAAAGCGTAATAGACATTCATTTGCACATTATGTAAATAAATATATAAATAATTCAAAAATATCTTCATAATAATGAACTTAATCCTATGTTTTCTTCTACTGAGTATGGTTGCATGCCGGTAGTGACAAACAACACTACAGCCATAACTTTTTTTTGAGCGCAATCTGAATTTCCTGGAAAAGTGCAGAAAATGTCACAGGGAGACTAATTTGCATGGGCTGTTCCTTGCCTTGCACCGGTCGTACGTTCTGGTGATGTCGTCTCAAATGTTAGCATGTCGGATGTGCTTCCAGCAACATATCCCAGTTCGGTATAAGAGAGGTGACTGACAGCCTCCCTCTTATCAACAACTCTGTAATTTCTCCAAATTACCGATTATGATTGCCGCAAACTTCACAGCCACAATTAATGTGTTCCATGCTGGACATCTTTTAATGGAATTTAGGTTCCGCTTGTGTCAATAAATGTATTTGTTTCATTGTGTGTTCTGAATATGATGTAACCGAATCACACATGACAAATACCTGTACCGTGACAGCCCTGCTGAATATGTACATGCAGCAACTCATAATCCATTGATAATATATAAATCTCAAAAGTTAGTTGGCATTATTACTGTTAAACCTTTAATTAGGTTAGTCCAACTGAGATTTAAAACCTTCTTTTGCAAGAGAGGCCTGACTAATATAAGCAATAATAAAAATAGTTTAACACAGAAAAAAAGAATATATAGGACAAATGGTATAGAAGATGAATAAATAAAATGAACGAATGAATGAATGAATAAATAAAAGAAAGATATATAATGGAACGTATCACACATATGTACTTTCCTGGCCCAGGTGTTTCACTTGGGCATAACCCAGAAGCTATGTAGGTTTCAATCTATTTCAATGTCTGAACAGTACAGATCAGATCTCAACGCAGGCGATTGCTCTCCACGCTGCTGGAGAATGTCAGGATCGCGCACGCATCATAATACGCCCAGGAACCCGGCATCTCAGCCTATTCCAAGCCAGCGAAAGTGGTGAAGACGACCGCGTGAAACTGAAGGTGCGCATGGATCTGCGCACCCGAGAAGCTCCCTGGCCTGCAGGAGGAGGGGCCGAGTTAATTAGAGCAGGTTAAAATCTGGAGCGGGCTGAGAAGAGAAAAAGCAGGTCAGCTAAAAAGAGAAAGGTTTGGACAAGCTCTCCTCCTCTCGCACACCCTCTTTTAGACACTATCACCTGGGGCATCAGCTCCTAAGAAGGCTACGTAACCTTAAGGGTATTGACAAGTCTCAGTGTGAATGAGAGCTCAGAGGCACGCAGACTTCTGGGATGACAGTGGTGAGACAAGGAGACTGATCCAATTATGCATGACAAATGTGGATGAGAGTGAACTTAAGACGTTTGATGGAACTCAGGTGACCAAAGAAATTAAGAGTAACATGCTTGCATTAATACTGAAAATTTTTAGAAAAACTTCTTCGTAAATATTCACACGCAAGTGCACCGAATCCGCCTCTGTCCTTCAACACGATTCAACCACAGCTAGCAGGTAGGAGCTGTTTGTCCCAGCGCCCACTAAACAGGTGGCAAGAGTGACAAGGAAGACTGTGAGCTAGACTCTCTACCATTCACTCACCTCGTTGGAAGAGAAGGTCAGAGTGTGTGAGCGCCCAGACAGACAGGGCTCTCCCACCAGCCCTGCCAAGCCCAAATCAGGACTTCCAGGGTTTGAATCATCTATGACTGAAAAACTCTGGAATGGGTGGAAACAAGCAACGGATTAAATGGACAGAGCCACTTGGCACACTGATTCAGGTGATACTGATACAGGGCTGAGTGAAATGAAGCACTCTCCTGAAGAGCAACTCAGCAACTCCTAAGACAAAGCAAAGGTGTAGTGGATAATTTGGGCCTGTTCCCTCTGCCCCAGTTTGTTGTGCTCAGCTCTGCAGTACTGACAGTATCATATAGGGGAGATTAGGGTTAGCAGTGCTGGCTAATTCAGGTCCAGAGAGTAAAAGTCCAGACTAACCAGTTGAGTACTCTGTGACTGTAACTCTTTATGCTTAGCTGGTTGGTTGAAACAAAATCCCGGTCTGGACTTTTACTCTCTGGACCTGAATTACCCAACTCTGGGGGTTAGTTGGAACTTTTAACAAATGCCTCCATAATATAAGAACTTGATTCGTTTTTGAAAAAATGTTTGTTCCACTGCAATCATACATATCCAAGTTACAAGTGTTGCTTATAATGTTCTTAGACTTTTTGGTTATACTCTATATCAGTGCTTCCCAACCCGGTCCTTGGAGGCCTTCAGACAGTCCATGCTTTTGCTCCCTCCCAGCTCTGGGAGCAAAAATGTGGACTGTCTGGGGGGGTCCCCGAGGGCTGGGTTGGGAAACACTGCTCTATATGATTCACCTCAGACATTATTATCTCTGGTGTTGCATATTATCGCCACTATTGGGGTTAGCTGACACATGGCATGGAGCATGCCGGAACGAGCCTCATAATTCAGGTCATGGCTGAAGAAAGCGCTGAAAACTCCTTTTAGGTCAATTTTTTCATGTAATTTGCTTTATTACTATGTATTATGTAACATGTTCTAACTAAACCCCCCATTAATAATCCGAGCCCCAATCAGTCGTGTGACATTTGTATGTGTACTACACAAAACTTCTAATGACATATTTGGTCTCATTCTGTAGCTGCTAGAGTTTAAAGAATGATTGAGTTAATTTAATCTATTGATAGTCGTCATAGAACATTTACTTAAGGAAAAAAAAATTACTCCAAGTGTCAGAAAATATAAAAACCTTTCTCCTGTGGCCAACTTCCAGTTCTTATTCAAGAAACAAATATGGTGGATGGACATTGTTCTTGTCTACCCCTAGATGGCAGCACCTCCCAAAATGGATGATTACTTTTGTTTAAAAATTTCAGTGTTTTGAAAAAGCCCTTGTTCCAACTAACCCCACTCACCACTCACATCCCAAATCGGAAAAACCAACCAAACCATGGAACCAAGAAATGGAAAGACTACAATGAACCGTATCGTTCTCTATGAAATCAAGAGGCACCCATTTAAATTTTACTGAAAAAAATAAAAATCTGAACATTTCTGGTACTTTGCAGTTTTATACATTTGTATAATTTTAGGGCCATCTACCTTCCACACATTCATCGGTACAGATGCTGGCATTTTAATTCTGAAATTATGAAAGAAAGTTCTCTCTATAAATACAAGTGTCTCAGGCTAACAGAGGTTAAAATAAGGCTTTGTCCATTTTTAATGCTATAATTGAATTACTAGGTGGCTTTTGGCTAACAATATTATTTCCACTATATGATCTTAAGGACTGTATAAGGATCATAAGGATAAATCAGTAGTACCCTCTGAATAAATGAGGAATTTTCCTACAATTTTTGGAGTAGTGCTGGTTTAGAAAAGATGATGATTTGATTTCATACAGAAGGGACTGCAGCGTAGTTAGCGCCATGGTTGGAAAGGAGAACAGCGGCCTGGAAGCGCACGGAATAACCTTACATAAACTGCAACAGGGGCAGCTCAACGTTCCAGGGTGTCCGTTTTAAGGATAATTCTGTTCTGTGTTCCGTAATAAAGCAGCAGAGCTATTCTAATATCTACTGGGGCAGCAACACCAAATACGGGATGGAACTGCATGGCAGGTACCACAGAAGAGCAGCACAGCGCTGTCTTAATAAGCAGATTATGATGCGATGGGTGGGACGTAAACCCTTCGCCATATCCTTACATTTTTACAAAATGCTGAAATCTGCTCTCCTGTTAGATGTTGCACCAGCAGGCCTGATCCCATATTTTCCCTTTCAAAATTAATACCTAATACAGTGGTACCTTGGAACATGAACTTCATTCATTCCTGAAGGCTGGTCGAGTTGCGATTCGGTTGAGTCCCAAGTCGAATTTCCCCATAAGAAATAATGTAAATGAATTTAATCTGTTCCAGACCCCCAAATGATAGCCTATTTAAATTTAACTACCTACCTAACTAATAATAAAAAGCATTAACAATTAATATAAAACTAATAGACACATGAAAAAGCACAAATAAACATGAAATAAATGACAATCCCACACTCGGAAGCGAGAGCAGACACACGTGCACCGCCTTCGAGTCTCACTATAATTTCCTTTTTAAACTCTACAGTTACTCTCACTACTTTCCACTTTGGTTTGCTGCTATCACTGCTCACTTTCTTAGGGGCCATGATGACTGTATCACTAAATGTACTGTAGATAAAGCACAACAAATTCACACCGAACACAACTTTCGCATGTCGAACTCAGTCGAGAGGCACCGCGAGACTCATAGGCATCAGCGTCCCAGTAGGTCTGCTTATTTCAGCCTATCAGAGACACGTCTTGATCTGTACAAGGTTTAGCAGGTCTGTTTTGTTTTGTCCTGTTTTCGGTCAAGTTGCGGTAAAATTTTCCTCATCTGACCCATTCAAGGTCCAAACTGGTTGGGTTGCACGTGTCTTGACACATATAAGTTTTAGCAGGAACGGTTGTGTTATGAGGTACAAGTCAAAAAAAAATTCGACAGACCTGTTTGAGTTGGTCAAGTTATGAGGCGTTCGGGTTCCAAGGTTCTACTGTATCTTGTTAGTAGAGTGGCTAATAGACAAATCACTTCTTGTTAGTAGCTGCGTAACTATCTCTCCTCTACTGCCATGAGCTAATCATCCAAACATCTATAACCTTCTAATTACTAAGAAAAAAAAATGTTCATACTGTACCAGATCTAAGGAACGACTGAATAAGGAAGACCAGGACAGGTTTGTCTGTTTAAAAAGAGTGTGTCTCAGTGAGATATACTTCTCATGTGTCTTCAGGTAAGTCCTTCCTATTAACAGGCCTTAATGGTTAATGCTCAGTCCACTTTGTAACAAAGTCAGTATCAAGTATTTCATAATGTTGAGATATCTGAGGCATATGGGAATGCTTGGTGATTGAGTCGGGGCATTCGCAGTCGTATGTTCACTCTGGCTTCTGTTTCCTGTGCTCTGGAGGAGCCTGTCAGTCCTTCTCTGCAAGCTCAGGTTACTGTGTGTTGTAATGGAGACTCGGCCAGATCCGGAACCCGGTGAGTCCGACCCTGTACGGGCCGAATGGGGGGGGCCATGATTTTAAATTACACTGTCATTAGCATGCTTCTGTTTCATTCTAGTGTTTTCAAGACAGGTGAAAAACAACTTTAATGGTTAGGTACTGCACCAAGGACCATCCAACCTGAAACATCAGAAAATGCTGAAAAAGATCAGTCTATCGTCACAGCCTCGCTGTCACAAATCCCAAAACAAACTCTCAGAACTGGTTTCGGCATGAGGCTGAAAAGCTATAACATTCTGACAGTAAAAACTGAGTAGTAGTCCGTTGTCAAAAATAAATCATTCATGATTTATAAAAATAGCTCCACCATGCACCAAGGACTCTGCATAATTAAGCTTAATTAGTTATGGATGAATGAGCCATAAATTATTCCAACAAGAGTGGACTCAAAACAAAGAATATTCCTTACGACCATACAACCTGCACTCAGGAATGCGTCAGGCACAAGTGGACACTCTCTTTATACATGTCCTTTCTTTACGAGACTGAGTTTGTTTGGTCAGGATGGTCCCACAACACTTTCTCTCCTGAGGGTTTCCATGAAACGTGTCCTCAATGTGACAACAAAACTAGCACATGGACAGCTGGACACACAGAGGACTTTGCACTGAAGGAGTGTGGGACAAAACGTGGGAGACACAGAAACAGGCTCCGCCACCTTTTCCTCTTCAGCGGTATGCAAAGGCATCCATTTTGAATACCACTAACCTTGCTTTTTAGGTCCTGGTTCTGTTCAGTGCTGAGCTCTGTGACAGCTCTAGGCAGGCTGGGGCTGGTGGATGCCTGCCTGTCCCTGTCCCCGAACCGGAAGAAGGGCATGCAGTTGGGAGTGGACGAAAGAGTGTCTGAGGGCGACAGGTCCCCGGGGCTCTCCAGCAGGTCACCTGACCCCCTGGGCAGTTAAACACAAATACCTACTTAGTACTGTCCCGAGAGACTCTGGGAGTTATGGAAAAAGGCGTGTGGCAAGGCGATGACGTCCCCGCAGCTACCTGCTGTCCAGCGATCCTCTCGGTGTGTCCTTCCCACGCTTCTTCCCTTTGCCACCAGACTTGCGAAAGCCACTGCCGTTTCAAAAGGATTAGACAAAGTTCATGTTGTTGACAGCCAGCTTTTCAGATGCGTGGAAGTGAATGTTGACATACCCGAAATCAGGGAACCAACTCTTCGGTTTGGCGGTGGATGAGGTGTCACTGGTGTCGTCTGTGGAAAAACAAGGACCTTTATAGCCACTTTGTTTTACTCATGAAGACTTTCCTCAATAACAAGGACAAATAAAGAGAACTGCTTTCCAATTTTCATCCAAGTGCCATTTCACTCAATTTCTACCAGGTTCACAACTGAAAACATTAACGTTAAGAACCTTTGAGGAGGCACGGAGCTGTTCTGAGGTCACTAATTATCCATTTCCGGAAGAATGAGCTCTACCTTTGATCTCCTTGACTTTGCCCTTGGAATCACTCTTTGTGCCACTAGATTGGAGCTCCAGAGATTTGCTGGGAGATGAAGCCTCCGTAGGAGACGCTGTGCTGGGGCTCTCACTGCTCTCTGTGCTCCCCCTCCTCTGGGCAGGCTGGACGATGTTGGAGGACATGCTGGACGGCTGGGCTTTTATGCCGGATTCGCTCCCCGGGGCGGGACCTTCCTGCTGGTCAGCTGCACTGAGCACTGGCACCAGTGAAGGTGAGCTTGCCTGGTCCCCCTGTTGGGGAACCTCTGTCTCGCAAGCTTCTTCTTTTTCATTCGCCTGCGGAGACAAGATGGCAGCTTCGAGAACCTGAAGCCTGCCCCCCACCCCCGCAATGTAGCACCTCCCCATCGTTCTTCTGGCACAGCGGGATGTGTACAGTCGCATCCGGGAGAAGTGAGAATGACCTGGTTCTGGGAGCAGAGCGATTGGTAAGCAAACGCACCGAGCCCAGGCCTGTGTGGGCGGGTTCGCATGGTGAGCGGCGGGTATCGGAGGCCTACCCGTTCTTGGCAGGGGGAGTTCCCCAGTGCCTCCCTGAGCTTGCGTGATGGTGGCTGGCGCCGGGATTTCTGAGCAAGCTGGCCCTTGGCCCGGTGAGCGCTGATGTCCAGAAGCGGAGTTTCAGGCACCACATCCCTCCAGTTGGGGTCTGCAGTGGAAGCCAAGTTACACTTCACTGCTAAGCTATGAAGGAAAGGCAACAGCCAGCTCAGAGGGGGCCCTCGCTGCCCCCTCACCCACATTTGCCATTTCTGCCTCTCCCCAGTGCCAGTCGATTTGTTGTACTCACCACATTGTGCAGGAAGTCGCACTTAATTCATATACATAAAACTTGCTAAATTAAACCCTGTGGAAATACACCGTGATGCTCCTCTATTGAAACGACTGTAAACATCACTGCAGTCTGTCCTCACAGACCAAAGTGCCTACAAACCACGTACTGAATGAAGGGCTGGACGACGCATTGACGTGACCCATTACACAAATATGTTTAGTATGGTGTATGTCGGCGCATCGTGTTATCGCGAACTTTGAAGACGGGAAGATGGCAGTGAGCAGTAATGAAAATTGTCTGTTTAAAAGACCGCGGACATCAAAAGTGTGGGAATATTTTAAGAAAAAAACAAACAAAAATAGTGGTGGTGTTTCTGACCAATACCGATAAACATTATATTTTTGTCTAGTTTCGGAAATATTCATACTGATAACCGGCTAATCTTTGAGCTACTTGCCGAGCTTTGGGGAGAGAGTTCCCAGCAGCCAAACTTGCTGCACTTGCCGGCATAGATCGGTGGAATAATGTTACATCGGTTTTCACAATGTGGATAATGAGAGATTGACCTGTGTGCCAGGTTTAATGATGAATTATCAGCATGCTGTGGGCCAGTACTTTGAGACCTACAGGTGGTGAATGAGGTTATGGAATCCCTTGTCCGCTACTATGAAAAACGGCCCATCGTCCAATGCAATCAAATACGTTTTTTATATTATGCATTTATATTATAGTTGTGTTGCTAACTTTGAATATTGATAAAGTTTAATTATTGGCCAACAATACTGGCCAAGACTGACACATCGGACAGATGCAGATATATATATATTTTTCTTTACAAATATCTGTATTTGTTACTGAAATATCGTAAATTGTGTTCAAGTGTTACCTAAACTGGTTTTGCACTAATTGGAATTCATTATTTTAATTTATTTGGAAAGATTTTTGTTTTGCATACCTTATTGCATTTCATTAGGCAATAAATTGTTGATATTCTGATTGTAAGAGTGTATTGATTAATTTTTGATACTAATTGTTAGTTTTATTGGGGTTATTAGATTTTTTTTCATTGGAATTTTCAACAGGTTTATCATTAGATTAGTCGACTAATTGAAAAAAATAATCACTGGATTACTTGATACAAAAATAATCATTAGGTGCAGCCCGAAGACTGAATAGTAAAAGGAAACAGCATGTGAAATGAGGGGGGAGGGGGGGATTAAAGGTCACATGACTGTTTATTTGTAGTGATCTTTATTCCCTGGCCATTTGCATATATAATGGTGTGTGTTGCATTGTAATCTGGATTCGTCAGCTCCAGTGGCTAGAAAATCAGAGACTTATCTACCCTGTTCTTCTCTTCTTGCTAAAGCAGGTTTAGTCTGATATCCCCTAAACAGTCTCATCCAATCTTATCTCTGCACAATTCTACCATTTCTCCCGGGAAATGAAGACCCCGGCCTTTCCATTACACCATCACGTCATACCGGACTGGCCATTCCTGTCTGGCCAATCGGATTCTTCTCTTCCATCTGCCGTGTCCTTGCTGGATGGGTGGCCCCAATGCCCACCCTCAGGGGGCTGGGATTCCAGGACAGCAAGCTGCAGAGGCACCACATTGGTCCATGAAGCTCTCCCACCAGCTCACCCACAGCAATCCACTAGTCCACAGTCATCATAGGTACAACGTTACAGGATGATGTCAGCAGTATCCTTTTACCCCACGGTGTTCTGTGTCCCTCAGAGCTGAGAGCTTACCTACATGGTTACACTGAAACACCTCCCTTGCCCTTTATGGTTTCACTCAGACACTTTGTCCATACTTCACAAAGAGAGCCCCTGCTCTGTTGCCACAGTGTACCCATTCAACTTTGGAACTACGCCCCCTGCTGGACCTGCTCTGCACCTCCACAGCAGTCACTCTTTCGTTTAATCTTTACCCGTTCCTTCAGTCTCTCCATATGCTCCACGTGCTGCTTCTCTTTCTCATCCAGAGCCTTCTTTAGCTCCTCCTCCTTCTTCAAGAACTCAGTCTCTCTGGGGGGGGGGGGGGAAACAGGCAGATATCATTAGACCCAGCTGAGCGTTTAATGAGCTGTGAGAAGCCATAGGAAACCATTTTTAAAATGCAGTGAGTAACTCAAACAGCCATACAAACGTGGACTGACAAGGCAGGTTAGGAAGGGCTGGTCAACCTGGAAAACATCTCCTTTTTGAATAATGAAGAGAAACATTATTTCAATGCGTAGGGCATTGCCCTAAACATCCAGACTACACCCATGCTCAGAGGCACACTCACTTCTGCTGGTACTCCTTCAGCAGTTTCTTAGCCTTGTTGTACTTCTTCTCCAGGATCTCATACTGCTTCTGGGTCTCCACCAGGTGCTCGTTGACCGTTGTGACAAGGGTCTGAGCCTCCAGCCAATACTCTTCTAGTTTGCCGATCCTGTCATTGTTCTCCTGTATGTCATGCTCTAACTGGGCCTGTCTAGACTCCTGTGATATTCTCTCCCCCTCCGATTTTCTCAGCTGCACAAACACACAAAAATCGCAGACGATTACAGAAAACGTAACCACCCCCCCCCCAGATGAACTGCCGCGGTCATGGTTTAGCTTGTTAAAACGTGTTCATGTCTTTTTAGAGTGGAATGAGCCCCAGCCTCTCAAATCACCAGTTGACTTACCTTCTCCTTTAATTGGCTGAGCTCTGCAGTGGCTACACTATACTTGAGCTGGAGCTGTTGATATAAGGAGAAGGAGGGAAGACAAAGTAACGGTGTCTACATTCGGATTCATGATTTAGAGCTCGTCTTATGCTAAAAGCTCAGCATGAAGTCTATACTAACAGCTACTTTTTTGCAATAATGGAACAATACGAAATGCGTTATTTACATCACACATGACTGTAAAAGTACACGGTTTATGACAGCCAGCTAGAAATAATGCCAGCGCTGTACTTCCTAAATGCAATCAAAAAGTAATTACTGACTTTACCTCGTTGTATGTAAAAGCAAGCTGAGTAGGGGCCATTTTTGAGGAAGAAAACATCTCATCTCCGGGTTCATTCGTCTTCGCCAGCCCCTCCGATGACCTCGAACCATGGACCATGTCCTCCCTCTCGAAGTACTCCTCCTAAACAAAGCCATAACCAAGGCCTGAGTGCAAGGTACGCCCATGGAAACAGGAGGAGATTTAGTCAAGCTGGCAAGCCACAGGGTTACCCCATAGAAAGAAGGAGAGGGGTTTCTAGAAACAGGCCAATGGGAACTCAACCCAGACTTATCAATGTGCCCCATTGCCCAGACCAGGAGAAGGCCATATTCCTTTATGGTGGAGGCCTGGAAAATAGCACAACATGCCCTCGACATCACCTCATTTTGCGGAATACATCAGCTCTTGACAAGATCAGGATTCAGATAACCATGACCCAAACCCGTGAATGTTGAGCAACAGTATCAGTGTTGAGCAAACACTGCCCTTGCTCACCTGTCCCAAAATGGACTAGCCCAGAAGTGACATTCCCAAATGGTAACTGCACTCAAAGTAAGCTATGGGGGATGGCACCATGGGCAGAGGGCCAACCCTTACCTGCTTCAGTAGACTCACCTCCATCAGCTCGTGGGCCTCGTCAAAGCTCTGCTGCCTCTGGCTCTGCTCCTGTTCCAGAGTCTCTCTGATGAGTCGGGCCACCTCACTCTGTGTACCGGGCTTCTCCCGACCAATCAGAAAGCTGCGCATTGGGAGAGGCAGGCGGCTGGTGGAACTCAGGAGCCCAGACAAAGACCCTTGGTCGTGTTGATTATATATTTGTTTGTTTATTACTTCCTCCCCTCTCTTTGCACTGTACAATGACAGATGGTTTGCTCATTGTTTACAAAAGAGCACCACGCTCATTATCTGAGGAAGTAAGTCAGGGAGGGCAAACAGCAGTGATCTCATCACTGGGTAACTCGAGTTAGTGTGGGGAGCTCATTTGACTGTGGTGAACTATTAACGTCCGCCGCTGCTCTGTCAAGGCTGCACTGTGTCAGAGCTCGGCCCTGGAAAAACGATCAACCGAGCTTTCCAGCCTCAGGGCACCAACACATCAGCTCGAATGTTATTGTTCCTTGTATTAATCTACGTGTTTGCGTTTGCATTCTCACAGTGTACTGCTGTCCTCCAAACCACCTAAGCTCACCTGACTCTGCCTTTGGTGTTTTTCAGGACTGTGGCAGCAAAGATCTGTGCTACTCCCACCAGGCTGATCCCATCCACCTCGATGATCTGGTCATTGACCTGTATCCTATAAGGCATAAGACAAACACATAGCATGATATGTTTTATTATCATTATTATTGACCTTAATAATTATTATTAACCCAACCCGTCGTTCATTTCACGCTGTGCCAATCCAACAGATGAAGCACAGGTAGTGTTATGGTGGATGCAAAACAAAATGAGAAAAGTGTTTAGAACACTGCCCCATCCCAGTTGTCAGATTTAACAGTGTTAAGTGTTACGTTTTTGTAAAACAAAGCAGGCCTCCTTCAACGTCAATAGGTCTTACCGTCCATCCTTCTCCGCGGCTCCCCCTTCTGTTATGGTCTTGATGAATATCCCCAGCTTCTCCAAACCCTGGTCTGCCCCTACTCCCATTCCGATGATGCTGATCCCCAGGCCATTCTCCCCTGTTCGTCCAGAAGGGGGAGCATGTCAGGAGTAGGGAAACCGTCATGATTATGGGAGTAACCACTGAAGGGAGAGGAGCCCACCCTTCTCGATCTCCACTGGGAATGCGTCCATCTTCTCCAACCGCTTCTCCAGCTCATATTCAGCAGATGCAGCCACGGGATCCACATCGTCATTCCGCCTGTCGTACTCTGTGTTTGAGTAGGTGCTAAACACCTTTCGGGAAAGACAGAAGTGGTATTGGAATCATAACAACAGTAGGCCAGAAGGCAAAATGAAAACCGTATTGCAAAATGCCACACAATCAGTGCTTTACTGAGGTAACCGGCAGCCATGTTGAATTGGGCACAGTCCAACCCACACTACAACAAAGAGAAGCAGTTGCTGCATTCAAAGACAACGACTCTTTATGGCATACGTACTCCTGAGTCCCAGTGTCCCAACGCGAACTGATGTAATTTGCTATAGTTTAATTAAAAAAACTCTCATGAGTAAAACACCATCGAAGTTCAATTGAAGAAATAAAGAGCAGCTTCTCTGTCAGACTGAAATGAATACCACAGCACCCCAGCAACGAAGTAGGTCAGAGCCGAGAGGAGCGCCACAGATTCGTAAAAGTGGCATTTTCAATCTGCTGCTAAAATAAGGAACTATGGCAAGCATTTGCTTCTATGTCTACACACACACACACATACATATATACACACACACACACACACACAAACACACACACACATCTGTCTTACCCTAAAAAGAGAACTGACCCACTCAAGGTCTGTGATTCCAGGGCTGGCCGGCTTGTAACCAATACAAGGGCGGCAAAGTTTTATGCTTCCAAATTGCTCAAATCATCCATCCACAGGTTCATTCAGTGGGCTTATAAGTGTCTTGACTCCTCAACGATTTTTTTGGAGTGTATTCCTTGACTTTTCATTTCAATCCTCAATGGCATACTTCAGTAATAGTATTAGTACCAAATATTTTATTTGGGAGGGATTCAAAGTAGAGTCACTGCTCCTCCACATCAAAAGGAACCAGTTGAGGTGGTTCGGGCACCTAACAAGGATGCTTCCATTGTGCCTCCCTGGGGAGGTGCTTTGGGCACCAGGGGGAGACCCCAGGGAGACCAAGGACATGCTGGAGAGATTATATCACTTGGTTGGCTTGGGAACGCCTTGGTATTCCCCCGGATGAGCTGGAGGAGGTGGCTGGAAAGAAAGAGGTCTGGGCATCCCTGTTTAGACTGCTGCCCCTGCGACCCGACCCTGGATAAGCGGCAAAAGATGGATGTATGGATGGATGGACGGACTATTTCACATAAAGTGAAGGACACATTAAAAATTCTTGAAACTTTGTTGAACTTCGTTATTGAAATTATAGCATCTTAACAAGCATCCTTGACCCCTTGACTATGCTTGACTATAACATATATGACATATGACATTAACACACAAATGCACAATTTCTACATCCCAACATTAAATTTCCTAACACTTACCACAAAAACCAGGCAGGGTATAAGTATTAACAGTTATGTACCTACTTTTCACCAATATGGCTGAGTCTTACAAAGCTAAGTCGAACAATGACCTGTCAATTCCAAACATCATAGGACAAAGTGCGTTGGGACACGTGGGATACTGCATATGTTCATTGAGGACTATATACCTTTACCTCCCTACACACAAACACACACATCTGACTCAACAGGGCTGTAATGACCAAGTGCTCCCCAGATGTTGAGGAACTGGGAACATGCACTTTAAAAAATACAAACCATAATTTAAGCCAGGACATGCTTGTAGAGCGAGTGAGTGGGATGTAAGATTACAGGATTCATTTGGAAGTTTAGAAATAGGAGTGACATAATATAGTAAACATTTCCACTGAAGGCAGTCTGGATTTGGAACGTGTCAGAACTTGAGGAACCAGGCTGTACCTTGGAGACTCTCACACTCTCTCTAGGCTCAAACACAGGTACTAAGTTCACCCCGTTCTCTCTATTCTCAGTGCCAAACAGTAAGAGTTATTGGCCCTCTATGCAAATGAAATGCTGATACATTTACATTAGTTATTTGTTTAGATCATCCTGAGACAGAGGTCGTGGGTGGAGCTCCAGATGACACTCCGATAACCACTAAACCTGGCTGTACAAGCACAGCTTCTCTTGGAAATATTTAGCTCATGCTTTGTATGTTCCAAAGCATCATTTATACAGTTAATTTTTTCATTTGCATGATTTCTATACCACCGTATAGAGATGCATAGTTTGCATAGCAGTTTCCAAAAAACTGGTTTTAACTAGCCTCTTTTTTCTTAGTTGTTAAATATCCTAAACTTAAACTTATCCTGAACTTAAGTGACTCAAACATAGAAATCAGGCACCCAATAGACCACGTATGAGTTCCTCTCAAGCAGGATTCACTAAGCGAATAAACAAGGGGACACCACAGGCAGAGCTGTGTGTCAGGCCTCAGTTGGGGTCACTGGTTACGTTTGGCTGCTCTCTTCACTTTTTCTTAGACGTCCCCGTTGCCATGGAGCACTACAGCCAGCCTAGAGAATGCCTCTTTCTTTTGCTGCGGCTCAGTAGTTCAGAACGTATCCTGCGCGGGAAGGCAAATCAGAAACCATCACTTCTCATGCAGAAGAATGAGCGGCACAGGGAGGATTATAAGGAAGGTGGCTGTCCCCTTCATCAGCGTCTCTTGGGGACACAGAGCCTTCCTGGTGACTGCAGGTGGGTGAGGTTTTTAGAACAACCCCCAAGACAGGGTGTTGCCCTGGAGCTTAACAGATTCAAATCTGTTAAGCCAGTTTCATTTATAACTTGATCTTAAAGCAGGGAACAGGTCTGAAAGGACGGCCCACAGGCTGAACACAAGCAGAGCACACATAATGTAATTCAGCGTTTTTAAAACATTTCAATTAGAAGTTACTAAACATTAGGGAAATGTATTTTTTTTTACTAAATTGTAATTTTAGGTTTTGATAAAGCTGCTCTTTGAAAAAATAAGCATTAAAAGTCTCCCATTTTCTAGAAATTCGTCACAATTATTTAGCTGTATTATAAAAAAAAACTGATCTTCATATGCTTTATGGTTTGCTGGCTCGGGTTCACAGAGCAGCAGTAAAGATTTTAAATGACCTTTGCACCCGTCCTCACACCCACGAGGTCCCGCTATGAACACACAAAGAAGCTAAGACACGTCCCACCCTCCTGCCAAACAAGGCTACCATGGCAAATCACGCAGCAACCAGTGACAGGACTGAGAAGACCTGGAGAAGCACATGGGCGGGAGCTGGAGCAAGCGGAGACGGGCTGGTCCCTGTTGGCTTGAAAACAGAACAGAAAACTTGCTGCTAAATATTTTAAGGCTGAATAAAGCACACTGGCCAGAGGCTCCCTCCTTACACATGCTCTTAACAGGGGGGGGGGCGACTTATCCAATCAAACAATCCGGTCACCATGACAACCAACCTAAACGTCAGGGAGCATGTGCCAGAAAAACGCGGCGATTGTGTCTTTTTAGGGTGCATTGCTGGATGCTGTGATTTTGGAATTCAAGTTTATTGATTCCCAGGTGCAGAAGAAAAATAAGTGAGCAGGCAGGCCTAGTGGACTGGTGGTGTGATATACACCGTCGGAGCATCACTGGCCGCAATCTGTCACTAGGCAGACAGCGTTTCACTGCATGCTGCTCCAAGGGTGTCAATGGCACAGCCAGCAGTGAGAGAACGTGCAGTGAGAGAACGTGCAGTGAGAGAACAGCGAGTGGACTTTTCCGGCTAGTGCTAGAAGGCCTGCGTGTCTGGACAGCCATCAGCGGGGGCTAATGAGTTCATTCAGTGGTTAGTACTGTGACCTCACGCCTCTAGGGCTGTTCAGCTCGCATGCTTACCTTCTGTTTGCAGGGGTGACCTGTGTGTGTCCTGCAATGAACCGGCACCTCATTCAGAGTTCAGCAATTTAATGTCGAGATACAGAAATGGTGCCACATGCCTTACACCTCCTGGGATAGGTTCCAAATTCAGAACAACCCTGAACTGGATAAAAGTTTAAGGAAGATGGATGTTTGGGGCAAATGCATTGACAGAGCATACATGCAAAATAAATAAACCCAGTTCTTTATACTTAGAAGGTCACAAAATGGGAAGTAATTCAGTAACCTGAATGAGGGAAAAAAAAAGGCACAAATATTAAATGCAAAAGCTTGTAAGGAAGACATGGCATGAATTATACAAGCAAAGCCTGAACAAACAGATCTCTGCATCTCCTGAAAACAGAATAAGAAACACACAAAGGCTACAGCTGAAAACACAAGACCAGTCCGGCACCAACTATAAGCAGCAACAAACAACTGATTAAGAAATATTCTTATTTACAAATAATTTAGGGCTGAACAAAATGCACTAGCCAAATGTCCCCTACATAGTGCCCCCCCCCCCCATTTTAAGTCTAAACATCTTCAGAGCTGCAGCTGATTGATGTCAGGGTAGGGCTAACCTAGAACGCGCCTCCATTTGGAAACATCACAGGTCATGTTTACCCTCCTGCTGCCTGCATGCGACTTTTGGCCCTAGCCCATGTTCCGCATAGGCCTTTGTGTGTCAGCGTGCTCTGAAGGTTCTCACAAGTCTAGCGATTTCAAGCATGATATCCTCCAAAGCCCCCGAGGCATTAAAATGCATTTTCCCACCCAGACCTACTTTTGGTCTTGTGGTGGGAAGGAAAAAAAAAAAAAAAACTCTTGATCATGATAAAAATGGGCCAATCGGTTTACAACTGCCCATTGACATTAGCTGTCATTGAAAGGATTGGCAATAAAAACATCAAATTAGAGAAAAAAAAATATGCAGGCATATTACAAATAATAAGTAAAGGAAGTCTGTTTGTTTTAATACTGTTCACACTTTGTGTTATCGCGCCAGTTCCTGTTTGATCAGCAGATATGAGGGTGCCATGACGACCCAGACAGCAGAATCGTGACCTTACACCTCCAGAATTACAGCTGGAATGCTGCCCCCCAGGAGCACCCAAAAACAAAACACACAATCAATATAGGAGAATCTGACAGACTAATCTATGTTATAACTGGATCACTTTTTAAAAAGGTATGAGAATTATTTCCAGTACACCTCATACTGAGGGACTACAAGTCTACAGTAGAATTATTGCTTTTTTTTGCAGGTAACTTGATTTAAGTGATTGAAAATAGTAGCGTATAACACAATCAAAAGAAGCCAGAGAATTAAATTACCTTCACACTCATCAAAAAGAACAATTTTGCACAGAAATGCAATGGAAACCAGCAGAGAGCAAAACGCTCATGATAAGCTGCTCTCCTCGCATTCACCTGCCTTATTACAGAAGGGCCTTTCTATGTTGCTGTCCTTGCTAACATGATAAGTGGGGAACAGGCTGAGGGCTTTACAAAGAAAGACTTTCTCATTTCCAGGAGGCCCAGTCCTGGCCATGTGACTCGCAGAACAATGCATTCCTGCTCAGGTGCCCAGGCAAGGCTGCTCTGTACAGGTCAAGATGGGCGTGTGTGTTTGTGTTTATTAAACTGCCTTAAAATTTAAAAAAGGATCCGTTTTTATTCAGCAATAAAATAACTAGTTGATTTCCTGGCCCTATAGGGACTAATTTCATTCGAAGAAACAAGAACTGTTTGTTACAGTAGGTCTATGAAGACAAGGTAACTAGACACCGATTCTAGGCTGACAGTTGACATGTTCATATTCTTCATACTGCAATTTAATCCCTGACCAAATATACCCCAAAGTAAAATAAGGGCTTTCTTTAATGGTAGAAGTCTTGGAAGCATTTTATAAAGTAATTTCAACATAAGCAAATAACACTGTCTAAGCCATAGAAATAATGTAGTTAATAAATTATATTAATTGCTTTAGAATGTTTTGTACTGTGTTGTCTTTACAATCTCATCTAATAAAGTCATCAGTAAGGAAACCACATGCTAAATCAGGACCAGAATGTTTACAGGAAGTGCGTCCTATAGTGATGCATCACAGCGTGAAGACACTTGGTGCTGGGATGGTACCAGAGCTTGCCAGGTCTTGTTTAAAGCTTCCCACATAAGTAACACTACAAAATTAAGGGGCATAAAACACTGCAGATATACAACATGCTTCCAGGAAACTTTTGCTTAGAATTATGTTATAGAAACATTTCCAAACCTGATTAATGTTTTGGTCCAAATGCACACCGTAAATCAGGTGATGAAACTGTATTGAGTGTAAACCTAAGTTCACAAGAAGTGGAGCTAATCTCTGATCAAGCATGACCAGAAAGATCAGAAAAATCTGTTCCCTCCAGGGCCCATTCCACAGTTCACACGCCCCATTCCAGTCAAACTCTCCCCCTACATGGACGGACTGGTGGCCAAGCCTGTTCCATGCTGCTGATATTTTGGTGGATGATGCGCCTCTTCCATTTGCCCTCAATCCCACCCATACCACAGTTAGACAAAATGACATCACGACCTGTTCACACTCTTGTGAGGAGTCACGGCCTGGCCTAAGAATGATGTCACAGTATCTAAAGTTACAATACCCGTGTTCAGCTACAACGGTAGCAAGAAACCATCTCATTAAGACACAAAGAGATGCAGTAACACAATAACAGCTAAAGATAACAACATAACTAACATCAAAGAAATACAAAGGGAAATAATGCCCACTGAAAAGTATTCTTTCAGTTCTTATAAGGGCTTGATAAATGTTAAGTTCAAGAATTCTAAGGATTCTCAAAAACTGGCCCAATTCTAAACATGAAATCATACCAAAAATTTCAACTTTTGTCTATTTCTTATTGTTACTAAATTGCATTTTCAACTATTTTCAGCAAACTGTAAACAAAAACACTGCCCAAATGAAAGACCAAAATTGAACTAGGTACCTGCAGCCTGATGAAACTTCATTAATAATTTATTTTAAGAGAGCTGTAATTATATCTGGCATCGTACTGAAATTATTTTTATAGGAAACATTACAGAAAATTTGCGCAGAGAACCACCCTGCTAATTAGATCACTGTCGGATTAAGACACCAGTGAAATTATTTTATCCAACAGACAGAAAGTACTTGACTCCAGTATCTAGAGCAACTTTACACAAGTGGCAAGTGCTACTCAACGCATACAAGCATATCTCGCATATAGTATGATGCATACCCGGATCGGTGCAGTAGAAAACTTGACCTTCCTATGTGGGCTTGGGTCCTCCTCATCCGGCAGGCCTGGCAGCTCGTCATAGTCCTCAACGTACTCCAGGTCTGTGTCCCTGTCGTCCACAAAGGCCGCATTCTCGATGCCGCACACAACAGGGGGCATCCCATCCTCAGGGCTGTGCCCAATCTGCGCCTCCTGCTCACTCTCCTCCTCCTGAGCTTCATCTTCCTCCCTAAAATCCTTCACATGACTTTCAAGCTGTGCCTCCTTCCTCAATTCCAACTTTTCCTCCCAAATGCCTCTTGCGCGTTCCTCCTCTAGAGCAACCTGCCCTAGTGCTGAGCCTTCCCCCTTCGCCGCTTCTGAGAGATGGTTTCTGGGAGGCTCATCATGGCCTTCCATTAGACTTTCTACCGCAAGCTTACCTGCAGCATTTTCATCATTTTCTTCACTCTCTGACGACTCATTATGTACCACCACCAGCTCAGCCCGAACCACTCCCACCCCATTAGGATCCACAGAATAATTCTTCTGTGGGGGTTTTTCCTTGGTGGGGCTCCTTGCCACAGGGCTGTCCATTCCGTCGTTATCTAGGATGTCAGCCCGGTCCAGACTGGGGTAGCTGCCGGTAAAAAAAAGGCAATGTTTTTGCTCCCTTTTGGGTGGACTCCATGGCTTTGGTACAGTGGTTACAAATGTGTTGCAAAAATAGGGGAGGGTAACAGTGGTTGCAGCACTGGAACATTCACCATCAAATGGGGTGGTGGGCTTGGGGAAGCCTCCAAAAATTGGGGAGGTGGGCTTGGGGGAGCATCCAAAAACTGGGGAGGTGGGCTTGGGGGAGCATTCAAAAACTGGGGAGGTGGGCTTGGGGGAGCATCCAAAAACTGGGGAGGTGGGCTTGGGGGAGCATCCAAAAACTGGGGAGGTAGGCTTGGGGGAGCCTCCAAAAACTGGGGAGGTGGGTTTAGGGAAGCCTCCAAAAACTGGGGAGGTGGGCAGTGAGTACTCAGTGGGACTATGCACTTCAGAATAGCTTTCTGTGCTCCTGAAAATAACTTTGTTATTTGTTTCCTCACCATCACTATCCACAATGAAGTTCTCCAACCTTCTGGATATTGGGCCAGCATTTAGGGACAACCTGGACACATGCTTCTTCTCCTCTCTGTCACACTTCTCCTCTAGCTTGCTTTCAGGTGGTGAGGTGGAGCTGGGGGAGACTTTGGGAGTGCTGCTGGTATCTTCAATGCCTGGCATCAGCTTCCCGGGACTCTTCTCCTCAACGGAATTTTTGCTTGAGGTAACGGGACTGATCGCTTTACTGGAGATGTGGCTTTCAGTTGCTGGGTGGTCTTGCATTCCCCTCTCAAACAGCTTCCTAGTTACAGAGAATTTCTCAGCCAGTACGGCTTTGTCAATTTCAACATCATCTACCTTCTGGCTTTTATCAGTACTTTGTGAATCCAGGCCGATACCCCTGTCCAAAGCTATTTTATTAGCACTGCTAGAAAACTGATACTGGGATACATCACTTTTTGAGACCATTCTTGCATCTTGGCCCTCGTGCTGTTGGCCATCCATCTGCAGGAATATGTTTTTTATCTTATTCACTTTATTGCCAAAAGGTCTCCCCCTTGTGTCCTCTCGGGTGTCGCTGGACCCATTTGCATATGACTTGTTAACGCTGTCAGTTTTAACTCCGTCAAAGGAGCATTTAATCGTGTGGAAGTCTGATTTGTATGCATTCCTATGCGGAGAGACGCTCCTCAGGGTCCTGTCGCCTTTGCTGTCGGTCTTGATCATTTTCAACTGTTTAAAAGACAATGCTTGATCGTAAATTAAGTCTATAAAGAGAAATCGAACGGTTTATTTTCCGTTCTGTTATCACATTAGCCGCCCTTTCCACTACTCCGACTGTGGCATGAGCTCGCAGAAGCTCCCCAAGCGCTGCTCTTCATTTAGCGTCATCTAAGACAAATAAGAAACCGCATACATAGATGTCGAATAATTACATTTCATAGTACTAAACTTCTGGTAATGCTTAGTTAAAATATACGCGATCAGTTCGATAATTTGGCTTTCTGCCATTACACTGAAACGTCTTGTTTTATTGAAACGCTTCAGTTGTCCTCAGTTCAATAAAAACTTCACAGATTGTATTTTACGTACAAGTGCATCTAGTCGCCGAGATACATTTCCGCAGCAATCAGCATGGAATTCACACCTAGGCAGTTATCGGCACTCTCAAGAAAGAGAGAACAGGAATAACGTGCGTACACCACGCTTCTCTAAAAGCAAAGTTACCGCTTACATCCACACCGATTCCAGAGTTTACAGTACAGAAAATTAATTAGACTGATCAAGCTTATCATCAAACACAATAAAAAAGTTAATAAAACTGATGGCTAAAACCTACTGAAATGAGTAAAAACAAGCCGAATACACAATTTACAGTATTACCTTCACGATCTCCATACAGTGTACACTTCCAAACTTGTCACCACTTCACCGCCATCATTCTTCTCTCCGGCGTTTCTTCTCTCCTTCGCTTCTCCAAACGCAGACCTGTCTTTCGACCGCGCGATCCCGCATTACTCGGCGCGTCACTGCTCGCGCAAAGTTTCCGGGTGCGCGCATCGATCGCATTCCAGGACTGGGACTTTCTGTTACCCCTCACAGCGCGTTCACGTGGCGAAGACTGGCAATAGCATGGGCAAGAACTTCTTTCCAAAGAAATATCCGGAATTTTGGATGATTCGTACTTTAAAAATGGGTCGTACGTAATATATATATATATATATATATATATATATATATATATATATATATATTTCTCCTATGTACATTTTTTATCAGAATATTTTTTCCTCACTGTTCGCTACGTTTGAAATATAAGAGCATGCATGTGCTGTAACAAAATATACAGGCGCTGCTGTGAATTGTGGTGGCCCAGTAACTTACTTTTGGTTAATTTGAGTATCGCCTAGAACTAATTTACTTGTCTTAACGCTATGTAGCTTAATTAGGGGTGATATATGACTTGAGGGGAAAAAACGTTTACCTATAGAAAAAGATAACAAAAGTACTCATAGCTGATTATTATTACAAGATTTTCTGTAAAAGTCAGAAAAGCAGGGTGAGGTTTACCTATTGATTTAATTAGATTCGGTGCTTCCTGTTGTTCAGTAGAGGAAGGCCAGTAATGTGGATTGCAGTCTAACAGTGTGTACCTGATACAACACCTCCAATGGACACTTGCACTGGAATGGGAGTTAAAATTGGCACATGGAGTAGTTGTTACTCCATTTGATAAATAAAAACAATTTATAGCTGCTGGAATTACAGTGTAAGTCTATCAGTGATTGAATCAATCTGCTAACAGAGACACTGAAGCTATATCCGGGCTCTGTGACGTCCTTGAGGTACACTGTAGTCTTTCCTGGAGAGGATTCGGAGGCGATTCCCATGTAGCTCGGGACCTAGATTTCAGAAATACCACCCAACCAAAGACACAGAAGAGAAAAGCAGAGCATTACAAGGAAAACGTGTTAAACACTCTCATTGGCTCGTTCACATCAGTGCAATTCGGTGATACATGCTGGTGCATTATCTTCTGACTCATAAGAAGTATCAGGATAGCATTTGCGTTAGTTCCATTAAAATTTTAATACCACACAGTGTATTAAATGAATGGAAAGTCAAAATACATTTAAAAGGTAAGAACAAGCCTTGACCCTGAAGCAGACATTATATTTTTTAGATTTGTTGAGTGCTCTTTTGCTATTTATTACACCAACCATTAACAGATTAAAAAGATTAGCAGTCAGGGGCTACCGCATACAAGTCTCTATCTCATTACCTTTCTCACAGATTAATTCACTTATTAATGACAGCTCAAAAATTCTCAGCTCAAGAGATATGCATGTATTCTACATGCTAATTTGCATGTGTAGGACAAAGCAACTGAAGATTTGAATTGGCCAGTATAATCTTATATTATTCATTTAGCTTATCATTGCATTTGAGTTATATTTGAACTTTCCACAGTTTTTACCCCATGACAAGAGTACAAACTGTGTAATATAATTGAAGCTGTTGTTGTTACACAATTTACATTTCCCGCCAAACATACTCTCAATGCCAAGAGCATCTTACATGCAGGAACAAGCTTCAGCCAGATAAAGAGGCAATATCCTGAGAAAAGGTATCTAAAATCACTTGGGAAAAAAGGTGATGGATTGCAAGAAGTGTGGGTCTTGTCTAGATATCAAAAGGCTGATTGTTCTGCCATGAACTTGTACCATGACAGCTGATGAGTGAAGGCTCATCGCTGAGAGATGACATTGTCCCACCCAAGCAGATGATGTTCTATATAGTCCATCCTCTTCAGAGCCTTGCTATAGTTTTGGTCATCTCAGGAAATATGGAAAATTAACCTTGCACAGCAATCAGTCGATCTGCATCTCCTTAGGAATAAGGTGTCAGGCTGTGTTACACTATAGGATATCTTCATTGGAAAATTGAAAATAATGACTCCTATTTAATATATACATACTAAAAAGAGATGCTCTGTCCCTTGTCTTTTGACTGATTCATTCATTTGTCTTATTTTTGACTTTTTGTGACATGTTATGAGCATTGCTATGCTTTTACTTAAGTACAGTTGCTAAAAATCCTCCAAAATTTCCCCAGTGATGCCTTGTGGCAGAAATTTTCCTGTACGGTTGTGCACTTTACTGAGTTTGTGTGCGGAGACACATGAGGGTGTTCACCACCACAGTTGCCCTGAATAATCTCTTAGCAACCACTTAGCTGGGCCCTGTAGACAGAGAGGTGACCACTGGGGCAGGCTTTACTCTCAGGAGTTCAATACAGGGCATTGTGATGCTCACGGTTCCTATGACAACCCTTCAAACATTTTTTTTTGCCTTTTCACAGATGGTATCTTCATAGTTAGGGCAAACTAGAGGAGTTGAATTGGGCAGCTTGTTTGAAAGGTGAAATAAAATCCAGGTTGCTGTGGGCTCTGGCCACATCATCACAAGTTCAGATGACCCGTCTTTTAATGAACACACATGGAGATTTAGAGTAATCAAATCCATTGTTTAGGTTCACTCAGTTACACCAATGAGTACTCGTTGTACGTGTTTCTTATTAGCCTGTAGTGCCACAGTTTCAGCTTTATAGAGGGCCAGCTGTAAGACATTAGTCACTAAGGTAAATCTAGATTCCCGAAGTGTATCCACTGGTTGTCTCCATTTTCAGGCAGCGAACGCATAAATTACTAATGTGAACATGGTATCCAAGTGCAGCTGGGCTTTCTGTGAGCGCACCCATCCGCACAATCAGGATGCACCACACAGCACCGTTTGGTCCACACTGAAAACACTTTTACTAACATGAGCCCCAAAAATGGTTATACAAATATAAAGATTTTCCATATTTACAACACCCTGTGAAAGGCTTATGTGTAACCAGCATATAATGCATAATTTACACAGGTAATAACGCTGTCACCCTGTGTCTAATGATACAAACAGCTCATTATCTCTTCGTGGACAAGTCAGACGATGTTGCCCCCATCTCAGTGATGACGTATGAGATCTAAAAGAGGAAGGTATTTACATGAATGTGGTGTGCTGTAATATATCCAGTGTACAGCATATGAGCTTAAAGTTTTACATTTCTGGATGAGAGCATCCAATAGGCAAATAAAATGCAAATGGATCATTTGAAGGAGGTTGTTGAGGTGGCTGCTCTATATTTGTAACTTCACAGTTGGGCTGTCCGGGTTGGTGCCCATCCAACCCTGACCTATGTGTCTTATCCCTTTCTGGCCAGCAGGTTTCACTGGTCATCCTGCTCCCCCCTGTCTTGTAGCTCTTCAGCCCCTGTGTGTGGCTCAGAGGCTGTACCCCTCCAGTCATGAGTTTGCACCTGGCCAGAGGCCAGCTTCACCTGTTGTGTAATTCAGAATTGGTCGACCCTTAGAGTTTGCTACTTATCTCTGACTTTGCTTTGTGTCCTTGTTTTTGGTTCACCCTGCCCATACCCGCTTTAATTTCATTCTGCTTGTACTTATGGTCCTTGTCTTTCCTAGTGTTAGCCCTCATTCTTTGTCAATGTTTCCTTGTTCCCGTGCTTGTTAATTGTAACTTATTCCACCTGTTTCTTGTTGTCCCATGCCTGATTGGTTGATTTAGTTATGGTCAACACTTGCCCCTGGTTAGCCTTGTTGTTGCTTTGCATTTCTTAGTATTCTTGATTATTATTCCGTTAGCTTTTTGTAGTCTTTCTGTTTCACCCTGACCCATAGTATTGTGGTTCCTGGTGTTGCTCCCTTCCTTAATGTCTGTTTTATCAGTGTTGTTTGACCCCTCATGGTTCCTTCATTTTCTGATTTCCCATTTGTGCTTTGTTTTGCTAAAACAAACAACGCCATAACAGGAGCATGATGGAGGAAGGACAATCCATGTTAAAAATACATTCACAGGCCAGATCCAAAATGAGACCACACTCTACTTGCCAATTATTCCATTGCACCATAATTTAAAAACTACTCAGATAATTGAAGTGTTCAACTTATCTCAAAAGTATTAACTCTAAAACTCTAATCTATCTCATTCATTTCAATTGAAATGCTCCAATAATTTTATTTCATGGCACTGATAGTTCAGGATAAGTGGCTGTAAAATTGATGGGGTCATGTACACTAAAATATACTTTGCTGAGTTTTTCCCAGAGTGATACAGATGTACTAATGCCTTGTACTAGGTGCAGAGAGTAAAGCCAGTGTAGAGATGCATAGGTCTTCACAGCTACTTACTGAGGCACTCATTCATAAAGATATCCTTGAGCTATTTGGCCTGATGGCTATATAGAAGTCTGCAATGGTTCAGGCTACAAACAGACGAACATTCTGAAAGCAGTGTCTATGGGTACAATGCCAGTCCATCATCTAATTTCTCATCCTCTCCTCTTAGAACCCAGAATATTATTAAAAACAGATATATCAGCTACCTATTTTGTATGCATTTGAAGATCATGTTTTACATCACAGTTACTCTACTGTTTAGCCTGAGCTGTAAATGGGTCATTGTCATTTGGTCTCAGTATGTTTTCCTTTTTCACACTTCAAGGTAAATCTATTTACTCTTTTGAGACTGTTTCAGACATTTAAACAAATGTTTAACAGATTATTTTTGCTTATGTGGTGATGATATTATGTTAGAAGAACACTTAGCAATTAATGATTTACTTAAGTCTTGTGTGGACTACCAATATTTTGCTTTTTTACTTATTTGCTTTTAAGTCCGTGAAACCCGACGAAAGGCATGAAGGGCATAAATAAATATCACTATGGAGGGACAAGCATATTGTTCCGCTATGACTGTGATATGGAAAGTCATTTAAATTGGGCTGACCATATCCCAAGAAAAGCTGTATCTTTAGAGAGCTTTTTATAGAGCCTATAGTGGACCCAGAGCTTCAAGCATTTAAACATTATATTTCAAAGCACTGTCCAGCTCCATATTTCCAGAAATCAGTCATACATGCTTAGTGAATTCTCTATTTTATTAATGTTATTTCTGACCCAGCAAAGCTATAATTTAGCAGGACACTGGCAGATGAGAATTCAATGATAGAAT